GCGCGGAATGTTTTGCAGGAGGGCGTCATCTTTCTCGTCGGCTGCCAACAAGTCCTCTACGGTCAGATACATGTAGTCGTTTTCTGGAAATGGTCCAATTGGCGGCGGCTGCTCCGTGACCGAACGCGGCGAGTACCGCTCCGGCTCGGGTTCGGGAGCTCCTTTCGTCCCTGGCGGTAGGGGGATGGTCGGGTCGGCGGGAATTTTTGCCCTAGCGGCATCTACTTCGACCACCATGTCGGCGGGAATATTTGCCCTAGCGGTGTGTACATCTTCCTCCATGAAAGGCTCGTTCAGGTCGGGAATCGCGCTGCTCCCCGCCGGCGGCGCGACGCCAGCCATCTCGGCGGGTAGAGTTGTTCCCGTTGGCCTCTAGTTGTCGCCGCGATCTCGCGGCGGTACGTGCTCAGCCCACCAAAGTCGATACTGCACAATCGCTGCCGTGTATTGCCTTCGCACCGTGGCCCTAAAGGCCGCCCGTCTTTCGGCCCTCTCAACGTTCTCGGCGATCGTCAACTCCGCGGCAATGTCGGTCAGTTCGGGAATTTCGGGAAGTAAGGGCGGCGGATTGGTGTTCTGCTGGGTGATGTTCGGAGTGGCCGTGGTCGGCGGCACAATGGTCGGCGGGGTGTGAAGTGGCAATGTATCGTTCGGCGGGGTGTTGTCCGGCGGGATGTTGTTAGACTGGTCCCTGACCATTCGAGGCCGCACGGGGGATCACCGGCGATGACAATACTGGTTGTGGGTTTGAAGAAAGAGGTCGGCGACTTTCGGTTGTTGTCGACCTAGTTAGTCGTCCTAGTCGGAATGATCCTAATTCGGAAGCCCGTAAAGTTTGCCGGCCTAAACGCACTCTACACCGGCGTGGCTCGTCGTCGACCCTGCACCACGCGTGGTCGGTCGGTCTCCGAGAAGCGTGAAAATGAGTAAGGGAAATGTGGCTCACCAGAATGGAAATGAATGCAACGCAACAAACAAGTGTCGAAATGCCATGGACACTAGGCCGTCAGGGGGTCATAGCATAGAGAGGCACAGTCGCGGTTCGGGCGGACAGGTGTTGGCGGGCGATCCGTGGGCAGGTCTCCAACTCTGCATGCAAGGCAGAACGGCACGGCGGCGCAATGGTCGACGTGGCACGGGGCACTCATGTCTTTTTCGCAGCCGACTGTCCGGTGTTCCCGTCACGGTGAATCGTGCTTATACGTCGGCGTGACGCAGCAGTGCTCATCGCGTCGCCCGACGATGGTATCCCGCGGGGACGTTCCCGCCAGCAGGCCGGCAAAGGCTTTATCGCCGCGTGGACAGACGTTTGCCGATCGATGTTCGCCGCGTGGAATGTTGTGTTTCGGATGGGCGACGTGTGGCTCTGCGCGCCAGCACAGTGGTCGGCCAGAAATCGCGGTGGGCCTCACGTCGCAGTCCGCGCCGATGGCTAGGTGGACGTCGTGGCACGCTGGCCGCGACCGGCGTCGTCGACGTGTCGACCTCGTAAGGAGGGTTCGTTGAGAGGTGCTATCGGGGTATTTTTCATCGGGATTGCCGGGTGACGCAGGGTGACGCTCCTCACCCAGGACGTGCACTCAGTTAGCCGGACAGGATGACGCAGGGTGGCGGATCCCTTTCCCGAGCCGCGTCGTTTTTGCACCCGGATGTAGTCGGGGCGTTGAGATATACCATACTAACTCTGCGTTGTGAGCGGAAACAGAGCAGTATCAGTGCACCAGAAGCGCTGTAGCTGCGCTGGGAGCGAAGAAGTTCAGTAACAGTGTGTGCTCAACTCAAAACCCCACTTACAAACCACGAATTCCGGTACACCTAAATGTAATAAAACATATATGATAAACCTCAGGGGTATATATAATCTTTAGCACTAGAAACAGATAAATGTAGTGACTGTTTTCTGTGACAGTATCCACAGGTTCGGTTTGTAGTTATGTGCCATGTGTGGACCAATGAAATCAAAACTGCGTTGAAAGGAGCTAACTCTGCGTTGTGAGCGAAAACAGAGCAGTAATAGTGCACCAGAAGCGCTGTAGCTGCGCTGGGAGCGAAGAAGTTCAGTAACAGTGTGTGCTCAACTCGAAACCCCACTTACAAACCACGAATTCCGGTACACCTAACCACCGCTATTTTCAACCCCGAACCCTTGCACTGTTTCCGCGTTTCGAAGATACCCTGCACGCATTCGGCTATTTCAGTTGGGTACTTGATCAACATGGGCTATGAAGCACCCCGATTTTCAATGTTAAGAAACGCATGAAAGCTTATCTGAGACAATTACCGCTCGTGTGAAGGGGCACTCTTGCTGTTGCGAATTCCCTTGTGCCACTTCTACTCTTTTTGGGGGTCTGGAACTACTCACTGTGAAATAAGTGTGAAATTTCTGACGCCCACACAACCCTCGGTCAAAGATTCCAGAAAGGGTGCATACTTACTTGCGCAAGTGGGGTTGAAAATAGACCGAAAGAAAAGGGAAATTATACGCGCAGTCACAATTTAGGCCGTATTATCTCGTTTGGTCACGGGGTTATCACGGACAGTCACAGTACAGTACTTCGCTATCACGTGTGATCACAGCGCTATCACGCGTGGTCACACCTCGCCCCGCAGGGTTATCACGTTTGGTCACTCGTTGAAACGCCCGCCAAAAAGTCGAAACTCTCAAATCTACTGTACAGATTCGGGTACTATTATCTCGCGCGCGTTTTGTCTGTAGTGAAAAACGTGATGTGACTGTCGAAATATACTCGGACCTTGTTAGGGACCGATGCAGTTTAATGCACAGTCCGCATGTTGCAGTGAATATAAGCGATCAATAACAGTTTCGATTATACATTTAGTTTAGGGTGTGCATTTCATCCATAAAACAAAGACATGGGTTTAGGTCGAATGATTTAAATAGTGAGAACATTGAAATCATTCGAAAACCATACAACAATCTGTGGCATATGATTCTTGAGAGGGGACTACAAATTTGAGTCCCCACTCAAGAATCATATGCCACAGATTGTTGTATGGTTTTCGAATGATTTCAATGTTCTCACTTTTTAAATCATTCGACCTAAACCCATGTCTTTGTTTTATGGATGAAATGCACACCCTAAACTAAATGTATAATCGAAACTGTTATTGATCGCTTATATTCACTGCAACATGCGGACTGTGCATTAAACTGCATCGGTCCCTAACAAGGTCCGAGTATATTTCGACAGTCACATCACGTTTTTCACTACAGACAAAACGCGCGCGAGATAATAGTACCCGAATCTGTACAGTAGATTTGAGAGTTTCGACTTTTTGGCGGGCGTTTCAACGAGTGACCAAACGTGATAACCCTACGGGGCGAGGTGTGACCACGCGTGATAGCGCTGTGATCACACGTGATAGCGAAGTACTGTACTGTGACTGTCCGTGATAACCCCGTGACCAAACGTGATAATACGGCCTTAATTGTGACTGCGCGTATAATTTCCCAAGAAAATAGCGGTTGTTAGGTGTAAACAAATTTGGCTGTCAGATTTTTCCACACCAGCCGCCACACATCAGGGGGTTCGTACGTGTAGTTCCGCGCTGGTCTCTGAACCGAACCTACCGCTGTGGTTCGTAATCCCCGGGCAATCTCTGGCCGTCAGTTCCATCGTCGAGCGCCCACCAGACCAAGCAACCACCACTTTCAGCCCGCCCGTACCCTCAGAATTTTCCCGCCCGTACAATTCCCGCACCGAACCTCGAGAACTCCCCAGCCTGTACTTCACTGGTCTTGCGCAGGAAATACCAGCGCGGGAAGCTGCCAGCGCGGAGATCACAAGCTTCTGGAATCCACCAGCGCGGTTGGGTAGCCATCCTGGCCTCCAACGTCCCATCCCGTCCCGTCGCTTCCCTTCCCTAGCTTCCACCTCTCCCTTTTATCCTGGTTTCTGCAGCTCGCTTCGTCAAATCCCAGGGTTTCATGAATCAGAATCATCAGTCCGTCTTCCTTTCTGATTGGATTGGAGATGAATGTACCTGAACATCCTTCAGAAAGGCACGTGACTGACCAGGTTTTTCTGTTGACGCGATCAGTGAGCGTGAAGTGTTTGCTTTGCACGTAACTGACTTGGCTCGTTGCTTGCTTGATCAATGGTCCCTCAGAACCATTGAAGCAGGTTACCAAACCCTAATTTCTCGAATCGCCTTTCACGCGAGTACAGTATCCAATCACTGTAGCGATACTGAGTAGGTTCATGTAGAACGGCTTCTTTCGTCAGGGCTTCATGGCTATGGTGACAACAGGAAGAATGCTAGTTGGTTGTTGAGAATTCTCAGAGAACAGCTCCTGTCAGGACCGTCCATGGCTATGGTTACAACTGGTAGAATGCCTTCTTCCGATCACACTGCCGTTCCCGATCCTTGGACGTCTCGCCCTTCCGCTTCAGGTAACAGCTTTTCATGTGTATTCGCGTGGCCGGCATAACGGAACTAGGTTTTCTGGTGTTTCGCCTAGTTCTTAGACATTACGTCAATTGACCCTTACTTACAATAAGTTCTCAGAACCTGCACCGTCCGAGAAAGCCGTTTCGTGAATGAAATGCGTGGGATTTTCACTATCAGCATTTTCGTTTCTTCATTCCTTTCAGGACCTCTGCCTGGTGCGATGCTTCCATCTGCTGCACCCAGACCGACTCTTCACCGTTCTTATAGTCAAGGGGTTTCGCGGTGTCCCGTTAATAGGCCACCCACCGTCATTCACGGAATCCCGGAGCTCTCCACGTCTCCTTCCTTCGAGGTTGGCAGCAGTCTCAGCCTTCCCACGCACGCGTCAATTTAGTTTTTCTCGGATGGCATTCTTTCAACCGGTTGGACATGGCTGTCAATTGCCTGACGACATCTTTTCTTTGCCCAATATCAAAATTCTCCGTTTTGTCGCTGTATTTGCGGATAAGTTATTGACCTGTCCACTCTTTACCCGCTTCCTCATTCCCGCCCACCACCAGGAGGCCTCGCTTCTTATAGGCGAGGCCATGCCTTTCGACCGCACGAACTGGCACCCTCACGCTCTCGGCTCCTCCGCATCTGTTCCCGAAATCTCCACATGGCATCCCGGGAATCATGGGATCGGCGCTAATGCCGCCTCGAACAGCCGGTTCGCCTCGTACGCACTCAATCCGGTGTATGAAGGCTCAGCTCCTGCCCGAACCAGGCCAGGCTCGGGCCGAACCTGGAGCCTCATGGAGGAGGTGGAAGGGTCGGAGGACGACCCGGAACACGTGTCCGGCGGTGGTTCGTGGGACAGCGGGCGGAGAGCGCGACCATCTTATAGCAGTGGGTTGACAGTAGAGGGTAGAACTACAGGCGGAGCAGCAATGGGGTATGCCGGAGGGGTGGAGTACGGTGCGAGGAGCAGCAGTTGCGGTCAGCTGCCAGGGGTAGAGGAATCGACGCCTTTGGATAGTCACAAAGGCAACAGCAACAACTTTACCAACAAAATTATCAACGGCGGAAACAGCAGCAGCAATGCTCAATATGGCCATACAGGATTTGTGTTCACGGCCAGTCGGCCAGAAGAGCACGCAGGGTTAGGGCCTCGTGCGGGGCTTGCGAGCAATGCGCATGGACGACAGGCTAAAGGGTGGGGTCCCAGCTCGTTAGGCAGCGCAGCAGCAGCAGCAGGAGCAGGAGGAGCAGGAGGAGGGCCGGGGCGGGGAGCGGGCGAGGCGAGGTCTCTGCCTCTCCGGTGGGCGGGGGACGGGCTCTTAGAGACGGTCCGCGAGCATGAGAGTTTTGTGCACAGGCCCACAGTCGGCGCGGCCGTTGCTGAAGCTGCTGACGCCAAGGCTGGTAACGCCGAGGCGGAGAGGCCCTGGTTTCCTGGCGCATCCGGAGAGACCATACCTGAAGAAAGCGGGGGTGCGTTTCCTGGACCACCTCCTCCTATGAGTGTAGGGCCGTATTTGGCGCAAAGCGGGGGGTTGTTTTCGGGTCTTTTGGTGCAGGAGCAGCAGCGGTGGGCGCTTCCGGATTCGGAGATGGGATGGGGGGACGCGGGTGGCGCTCGGGTAGAGGAAGCGGGGCGGGCAGGAGGCGGAAGAGGGGAGAACGGGGCGGGGGTAAGGGATGACGGGGCAGACGTGGAGTTCGCTGATTGGCTGATGGTTCCTGGGGAAGGGGAAGAGGAGATTCCGGGTGACTTATTAGGCGGAGGGGGAGGTCAGTGTGGGCCTAATACCCGTGTGGCAGACGGTCATGGAGATGGGCTAGTAGGGGATGCTGTTGATGCTCGTCATGCTGGTGCTGTTTCTGCTGGTGATGCTTCTATCGGGGATGTTTCTGGTGGTGCTGTTTCTGGTGGTGCTGTTTCTGGTGGTGCTGTTTCTGGCGTTGCGGAGTGCACAGCAGAGGGAGCGCGAGGACAGGGAGACGGCTTCAGCATGCACAACGGGGAAGCTTGTATGGGGGATAGAGGGTCGACTCAGGATGGGGAGGGAGCATTAGGGCGCGAGGGGGGCGGGGAGTGGACGGTGGAGCGAGAAGGAGAGGAGGGAGACGTGCTGTCGGAGCGCCCTAGTCTGCCTGACGACCTCGCCTGGTGCTCCTGGCCGGGCTGTGAAGACATGGCCACTGCTCGTCGCCCTGCTCACGCCCCACCTCGTGCTTCTGCGCACACTCTCTTGCATGACTTCTCGCGAGCAGCAGCACGAGCGGACGCAGGAGCGGAAGCAGCAGGAGCAGGTACTGGAGTGTCAGGTGGTGGCGTTGGTGCCGCCGCTGCTGCTGCTGCTGCTGCTGCTGCTGCTGCTGCTGCTGGTGGTGGTATGTCATCTGGCGTGGACGGGGGTCCGGCCCCGCTGTGTCGCGGACACCAGGCGCTCACGTTAGACAAGCGAGTGCGGGGGGGTTGCCTGATGAGCGTGCTCCAGTCGCGCGCAGCTGCGGAGGAGCTGGCTCAAGCAGGCCACGAGGAGGGGAACTTTGCTAATGATAATGGTGATGGTGATGATGACGACGATGATGGTGATGATGGTGATGATGATGTGGCTGATGGTGGTGCTGACGTGGCAGCCCTGGAGCTCAATACGGACACAGATGCGGATTTCAGCGCCTTTGCTGGCCCGTTTGCGTCCGGCCCCTTCGCTGCTAGTCCGTTTGTGAGTGGTTTCAATGGGTTTGGCGGGTTCGGCCACCCCTCTGGTGGACACCTTGAAGGGCACGTGCTATTCGAGGAGGCCCCATTTGACCTCGACTTTGCTGCCTTCTGGGGGTTTGGCACAGCGCCTGAGGACGCGGCTGGGGTGACTGCAGCGGGTGAGACAGTAGCGAGTTTTCCAGGGGCGGAGGGAGCAGTAGCGGAAGCAGCAGAGGCTGGAGAGAAGAGCAGGGGGGCGGAACCTTTAGATGGAGTGAGGGAGGTGGAAGCAGAGGGAGCCGTTGCAGGGACAGCAGGGGGGGATGGAGATGGGGCAGCGGAAGGGCAAGGGCAAGGGGAAGGGCAAGGGGAAGGGGAAGGGGAAGGGGAAGGGGAGGGGGAAGGGGAGGGGGAAGGGGAGAACGAGGAGGCTATGGACTGTGATATGATGTTCATGTCATGGGGTATGCCGCACATGCCCCCTCCTCAGCAGCCCAAAGCTCCACCCCAGCAGAACAAGCCTCTAGGTGCCGGGGTTAAGCTGGGATTTCAGCAGCCCAGTGGGGTCAAATCCGCTCAGGAGAAAGCGCAGGTTGAGAAGCAGGTTAAGGCAGAGCAGACTCAGGGCCAGGTCAATCAGGCGCAGGTGCTGTCAAGGGCCCCACAGGTGGATATTCAGGTGTCAGCGCAGGTGCCCGATCCAGCTGCTGGGACTCTCGCTGCTGCCAATGCTGCTGCTGCTGCTGCTGGTAACGCTGCTGCTGCTGCTGTTGCTACTGCTGGTGCCGGTGGCAGCTGTGTGGGCGCTGCACCTAGTGCTGCTGAGCAGCCCCTGAAGCAGGATCAGCCAGGAAAGCCAAACCGGCTTGCTGCTCGAGGTAATTTCTGCCCTTCGCTTCTTTCCCTATCATCTCTCCCTACCTGTTCCCCTCCTCCACTTTTTTCTCTCCCCACAGCTTACCTCTTCCCATACCTTCCCCCTCACACCTTTTTCCATCTTAACCTGCCTTCCCTCAGGACCCTTCCGTTGTCCTCCATATCCCCTATCTTCACCTGAGCTTGTTTCTCGCCTCTGCTGTTTCGTTACCTTGTCACCTCGTGTGTCACCCCCTTTTTCTTTCCTCCCTTCCATCCCCTCTCTGCTTCAGATATTTTATCATGAAAAAGAACAGCTCAGTCTGCCACTGAGCCTCGCCCTTCAACCAGCAGTCCCATGCCCTCCCCTTCCAATTGTTCTCACACTCCCCTCATGTTTCACACCCCCCCTTCTTTCCTGTTCCCTCTCCCATCCCCTCTGTGCTTCAGATATCCCAACACAAAAGAGAGCCGCTATGTCGTCTGCCACTGAGCCTCGCCCTTCAACCAGCAGTCCCATGCCCTCCCCTTCCAACTGTTCTCACACTCCCCTCATGTTTCACACCCCCTCCGCCCCCCCCCCCCGCCCTTCTTTCCTCCCTCTCCCATCCCCTCTGCTTCAGATATCCCAACGCGAAAGAGGGCAGCCATGCCATCAGCCATCTCTGAGCCTCGCCCTTCAACAAGCAGTCCCATGCCGTCCCCTTCCAACTGCTCCCACACCCCCCTCCTCCCTTCCCACTCCTTGGGCACCCTCCCCCCCTCACGCACCTCCCCACCTCTGCACCGCTCTACATCCGCCTCCACCCCTCACCTGGCAGCCTCAGCCGCACTGACTGTCAGCGGCCCCCTGAAAAGAACCGCCACTCACGCCGGCCCGTCTTCTGCCCGCGTTATACCCTCTAAAAGGCTCTCCGGGTCGCGTTATAAGGGCCCGGGTCGAGCTTCAGCTGCGTTTGCTGCTGCGCCGGGGAATCCATTTGGCGTGTCTCCATCCCCTCCTGGAAAATCCAGTGTGTTCTCCCATCTGTCCACGTCAGCACCGCCTGCCACGGCTTTCCCACCGCACATGTATACGATGTCGTCTGTAGCGCATCCGTCTGTAGCACATCCGTCCTTAGCGCATCAGTCCTTAGCGAATCACACTCTTGGCGTGAGCATGGGCATGGGCATGGGGAGTGTTAGTGCCACACACCATGGGGCTTATGGCGCTGCTGCTGGCGGTTATGCCACTTCAGGAGGTTATTCAGCTGCTGGAGCTGCTGCTGCTGCTGCTGCTGCTGCTGCTGCTGCTGCTGCTGGCGCTGCTAGTGCTGGTGCAATTGCTGCTGCTGGCGGGTACAATTCACATATGGCCCTGCGCAGACATCCCCATGCGCCTTCTAGCTTCCACGGCTTGTCATATCTCGCCCACTCGCCCCCAACCACTGCCCACTCCTTCCTCTCCCACTCGCCTCCCACACCACACTCCCTCCACCACCACCACTACCACCCGAGCCACTCCCTGCCTTCCATTCATAACGAGCAAATGCAAGGGATGCTACAGGAAAAGGGCCGTCGAATCCGCCCCCGTGCCGACCCAGCTGCCACTATCGGGTTTGCTTGTAAAGGGGCTGTTTCCGCGCCCGGGCCTGCTGCTTCCGAGGCAGATGTGGGAGGTTCGGCTGCTGCTGCAGCTGCACATTCGGCGGGCGAGGGGGTGTGCCCTAAGGGGCTTGGCACTCGAATCAACTCGTCTGCTAGTCTCTGTACTGGCGGGGCCTCTCTGCCTAAGGACAAGGGGAATGGTAGACTCGGGGAAGGTGGAATAGGGGGAGGTGGGTTAGGGAAACGGGATGGAATGGATGTGATGCATGGAGGAGAAACAGCAGTGGGAGAGGAGAGGGCTGGTAAAGAGGCAGCAGATACTGCTGCAGAAAATGCAGCAGCTAATGCACTAGCAGCAACTGGCGATATGAACCGTATTCCACCAATGGTGCTCGTACCTCCATCCATGCGTGGTGGTGAAGAGGCTTGTATGGAGGATGCGTCAGGAGCAGCTGGGAGCGTTGGTGTTGCTGTCAGTAGTGGTACAAGTATGCAGGTAGAGGGAGGGGTGGAGACGGGGAAGGGGAGTGAAGAGGCAGAACAAAGGGCAGCGACAGCAGCTGGTGGTGCTGGGAGCGGTGATGCTGCTGCTGTCAGTAGTGCTGTGAGTATGCAGGTGGATGGAGGGGCGGAGAAAGGGAAGGGGGGTGAAATGGCAGAACCGAGAGCAGCAACAGCAGCTGCTGTTGACAGTGGTAGTGCTGCTCCTGCTGCTACTGAGCGCGCTGCTGCTGTTGGCAGTGCTGCTGCTGTTGCCACTGCAATTACTGCAGCTACAGCTGCTACTGCCGCTACCGGTGCTGCTGCTGCGAGCAGTGCAGCAGGCCAAGGGGTTCGCAGTGGGGGCAGCAGCAGCAGCAGCAGCGGCAGCCAGAGAAAAGGCTCCCAACCCCCAGCTCTGTACCCCATAAAAGCATCCCCGATAGCAGTGCCCGGCCCGGGAAAGAAATCTCAGGGAGGAGGTGTAGAAGCAGCAGCACGCTCAATACAGCAGCAGCAGCTGAAGGCAAGGCAGCAGCACCTGGCAGCATCAGCCCCAGCAGCCCCTGTGGGTTCTATCATAATGAGCTCCTCCTTTTCGCCTACTACTCCCTCCCCCCTCACTCACCACCAAGGTCCCTACGGCTTCCCTTCGTCTGCTAGCGTGACCCCTGGAGCAGGTTTCCTTCCAGGGTCTCTAGGAGCAGCAGGGGGGATGTCAGGAGGATTTTCAGGTGGCCAGCCAGGTGTTTTCTCAGGTGGTTTCTTCCATGGGGGGGTTCCTGGGTCTGTTGCAGGACCTGAGCGCATGCACCTGATGATGGCTGGTGGGCCTGGAGCCGTACGCCAGATTTCTCCTGGGATGGGTCCGGTGGTCGGCCAGGTGCCCACAACAATGGTCCAGGTGCCAGGCGGAATGATATCTGGGGTTTCACCTGGTGCCACCCCTTCCCTGCATCAAACACACCCTATGCACCACCTGTACCACCCACACATCCCACACCATCCTCAGCACCACATGGTGGGATTTGCACCAGCAGGTGCAGCAGGGGTGTCAGGCGGGAGAATGGGCATGTATGGGATGGGAGGGGGCAGCATGAGTGTTAGCATGAGCAGTGGGGGCAGCAGCACTGCGAGTGGGGCAGGAACGGGTGTAATGGCAGGTACAGGGGGACAGGCAGGGGGTGCAGGAGCAGGAGGGGTGGGAGGAGGGGCAGGAGGAGGGGGAGGAGTGGGAGTGGGAGGAGTGGGAGGAGTGGGGGCAGGGGGCGTGAGTGCTGAGCTTATAGTGAAGAGGAAGAGGGGGCGGCAGAAGAAAGTGCCGTCTAAAATCGGCCCCTGTGGTGCCACCACTAATCTGCGTCCCCTCGCTCCTAGAAACGCTGCTGCTGCTGCCACTGCATCCGCTGCTGGTGCGGCTGGTGCTGGCAGTGGTGGTGGGTCTGCTGGTGCTGCTGCTGGGGGAATTGGGGGAGGAGGAGTGGGGGGAGCAGGGGGAGCAGGAGGAGCAGGAGGGGTAGGAGGGGCAGGAGGGGCAGGGGTGGGGATTGGGTATGGAGCTGCTACAGCAGCTGCTACAGCCGCAGGATTGGCTGTAGCAGGACCGACGTTACCTCCGGGTTCCTCAGCTCAATTTGGCCTCCAAAGGATGATAATGGTACCTGCTACTACAGCTCAGCCCACTCTAATCCGCGTCCCGTCCCACCCGCAGCCCTCGTTTTTGTCACACTTGCCAGGAGCACACCCCTCACACCGCTACCCCATGCCTGGGCACCCGCCCATCCATTTCAATGGGGGCATCATGGGCGTGGGCAGTGCTGCTGCCCTGCCGCCCCATACAGCCCAAAAATAGTGGTGACTGCAGCAGGTGGGGGTCAGTCGCCGCTGCCCTGCCGCCCCATACGGCCCAAATGTAGCACCTAAAGATAGCGGTGACTGCAGCGGGTGGGGGGAACATGGGCGTGGGCAGTGCTGCTGCCCTGCTGCCCCATACGACCCCGTATGGTGGTGGTGGGCAGTGGGCAGGGGAGAAGAGAGCGGCGACTGGAGCAGGTTGAACTGGCCGTTAAATAAGTGACCGGCCATTGATTTGTTCCTTCAATCTTTCGGCACATACCGAAACACTTCACTCCACTTTCCCCCAGTACCCGTTCCCCTCCACTTTCTCCCTCCTCCACTTGCCCCCTCCCACCCTATTCCTCCTCGCTAACTTCCCAAGCCACCTCCCCTATCTTCTCCCACCACTCCTCCTTCCACCTCACCCATTTGTTTCACCTCACCCATTCGCTCACCCATTCGCTCACGCATTCGTTCCACCTCATCCATTCCCTCGCCCATTCATTTTACCTCACCCATACATCTTGTCAGTCCTTCAACCTCACCCATCCCCCCTGCCCCCTGCCGCTGCATAAGTTACTGCACCCCACGTCTCTCGCCTAACAACCATCATCATTTAAGTTCCAACACAGTTGCTGTCAGCAGTTGAAGATAAGCTGTTCTTGCAGTGTGAGCTGCGCACTCTCTCTCTGGTGAAGCATGTCCCAAAAGCAGATACATTAGCTTCCAACTTGTCCATTCGTAGCGAGGGTATTTTTGAGACGTCTCAAAAACACCCTCGCTACACACCGATACATTAGCTTCCAAGTTGCCCATTCTTGGCAGGCTTCTTGTTTGGACATAGGGTCGTTTGGTGGAACCACAGGAGGAATAGGTAGCAAGGAGGGAGTCACTACCAGGCCTGCTTATCAAGGAGGCCTGGTTGCAGGGGCCTCCCCTCCCCCACGTATAAGAGAGGTAATGGAAAATGCCTTATCCTAAGGACACGATTCTCGGCTATCAGGTTCCTTGGGGCGTGAAGCCGATCAGGGTCAAGGGTCTAGAGCAGCAGTCCTAGGCAGCAGGCAGCAGCTCGGTTTGTGGGTGCGTGTGAAACTGCAATCTGCTCGCTTTTGTATTGGCATGCCGTGTACATACTCTATCGTCTTTATCTGAATCAATGCTGATGCTAGTACTGTAATTTTTTCATTACGTGCTGTATTAGACAGGCTGCAGCTGAGGCTCATTTCTCCGTGGAGCTGGCAGAGATGAGGGTGAGAATGCACCCACAATTCTGTTGTGAATTTGACTAGTTGCCTGTTGCTCAGTTGAACAAGCCATTGTTTTCTCACCTGTGCTTATGCGATGTTCTCTAGAGCAGTGGTATGTGTTTTGTAGCTCGTAAATTAAATCAATATCCGTTTCAGGGAGCATGCAAATGGTACCTATTGGGTCACTCATCTGCTATAAGTTTTTGCAAGACCGGAGGTACATCGAAGTGTATATTGTTGAGAGTTATATTAAAGTCCTTACTGTATACCTTGGAGACACGTCGGACTGTCTCCTGCAGAATGGGGAAAGATGTGAGGATGTACAGTGCAAGTAGAGATGAGAGCAGGCACCTTATTAGTGAATCATAAAATCCACAGCAACAGAAGGGTTATCTTGAGAGAGGCATAACATAATTAGGTAAAAGGAGGGATAAGCAAAGCCTGACAGTGGGGAATCGGAGAAAAATGCATCAGTCTAAAGCATTGATGATTGAGTGCATGGAAGAAGGGAAAGGACCGTATGAAACAGGATAGTCCACAAACAAGATGACACTGTATCATGATATCACATGCACACATAGGACAAAACACACCATCCAGGCTCACGCATCACATACCAAATCTCCCTTATTGCATCTCCCATATCGCTGCATCACTAATGCATCACATATCACATAAGCTAGATCACCAGATGCACACCCCATATGCCATATGCACATCCTACATCACAAGTCGCAACACAAACCACAAATATCACATATAGCACATATCCCATGCATCCCATACTGTACACCATATATGCTACAAAATCACTCACCGCATCATATAGCCGAGCTAGCTTCAGATCCGTCCCAGTCGCATGCGCTTCTTTTCCAAACTTAAACAGGTGTATATTTGAGTGGTTGTAACGCGCGGTTACCACACGAACCCCGTCCTCCAAGTTTTCGAAGTGCCCCACATAATCGTACTGTATGTGGTCCAAGGCGCAGAGATCCACTTGCGGGGTTATGTGTCGATCTAGGGGTTTCTGCCCCCTTATAAGGTGCTCCACTAAGCGCATAAAGTCGTGGAACGATACGAGCTGCGTGGCTGGATCTTTAAGCAGGTCAAAGAAGGGCTGCACGCTTCCAAAGAGTTCCTGTTGGGAGCAGATGGAGCGAGAAGAAAGAAGCGAAAAAAAGGAAAATGGAAAATCAGGAAAAGAGGGAATGTTTTAGGTCTCAGGAGGGCACAATTCTTCATTCTAGCAGCTCCTGTTGGTCCAGTCGGAGAAAGGGGGAAGGGATGGGAAGGAAGGGAAGGAGGAGAAAAGAGGGTCTTTGAGAATGTCTAAGAAGGGCAATAAGGGCAATGAGGGCAAGAAGGTTCTAAAACTCCCTCGTCCCCCATCAGTCACAACCAGCTTGTTGTGACGGTAAGTCAACACAACACAACCCTCGAGAACGGATTCCGTTCAAACATGAACTTGAACAGCCCTTCCTCACTCACTCACTCCCTCCCTCACTCATTCACTCACTCATTGTCCACCCAATCCCTCTCTCACACCCACCTTGTTCCAAAACTCTCTTGTCCCCCACCCCTTGGTCCTGTCAGGTGCGTCTGTCACCACCAGCTTGTTCAAATAGGTCGAAACCACCCTCGAAAACGGATTTCGCACGAACGTGAACTTGAACAGGCCTCTTCTCGTCATCGCCCGTGTGGCCTCTTTCTCAGTAAACTTCTGGGAAAGGTCCCCCAGCCCGCTGGCCTCGTAGCTGTGTGCGAGGAGATGGTCCTCTGGCTTGGGGAGATGCAGCATGGCCCGCAGCCACATGCGCCAACTCGTGCAAGCGACCTTGGGGAGACCGCAGTAGGCCAGATTGAGAGATGCTGTGTGTGGGGGGGAACAGAGGTGAAGGTGGGTGCCGGGGGATGGGCAGTGGGCAGTGGGTAGTGGCAGGTGCAGCATGGCCCGCAACCACATGCATGCCACCTTGGGGAGACCACAATATGCGAGGTTGAGCGGTGCTGCTAGGCATGGGGTGGTGTGGCATGAGAACGCGGGACAGTTGGATTTTGAGTCGACACAAAACACGACCCATTACACGTGGAGCGATGCTGCTAGGCATGGGGTGGTGTGGCATGAGAGGGACAGTTGGAGGGGTGTGGAGGCGGGTGGGAGGGATGGAAGGGATGAGAGACGAGTGGCAGACAGGTGGAAGCATGTGCAGGGAGGGGCTCATGGGTGGATGGATCGGTGGGTGCTTGTGCATGACATGGGATGGCATGGAAAAAGGCAGGGCATGAGACAGCATTGCACTTACGTTCGACCACAAAGAACTTGGCAAAGAGTTGACGGGGGATGGGAGGGATGGGGGATGTGTGGCAGACGGGAGGCAGCATGCGGAAGGAGGGGTTGTGGGCGAGAGCACAGCACGGCTTGGCATGGCATTGCACGGTAGGGCATGAGACAGCATAGCACTCACGCTCAACGACGAAGAACTTGGCAAAGAGTTGACGGGGGATGGGAGGGATGGGGGGCGAGTAGCAGACGGGAGGCAGCATGCGGAAGGAGGGGTTGCGGGCGAGGGCTCGGGCGCGAATGAAGTCTGCTGCTGGCGATGGTCGCATGTGCAGCATGGCTTGTGTGTTGGCGAGAAGGAGTAGTTCGGCAAACTGTAAAAGGGGAGAGGGACGGAAGGGTATAGGAGGGGTATTGGAGAGAGGGGTACAGGTGGGACACGGGAGGGGAATACGAAGGACATATGTGGTGCTCATACGTTGAGACGTCCACAAATGCATGCATCCATTAAAAAAAATACTTGCACAAGTAGATGCACGGGCATTTTTTTTGTAGGTTCATTCTGAGAATTCTCAAAATCAACCCACAAGTAGATGCACGTGTGTTTTGAGTCGACTCAAAACACACCAAGTGTGTTTTTTTGAGTCGACTCAAAACACACCAAAATCAACCCACAAGTAGATGCACGGACAAGTGCACGCCCCGCTTGCACACACCCACGTGGCTCTCACCTCATGCTGTTGACACGCGATCAGCGCCCTCCTTGCTCTCTCCACTGCCCCAGCATACACATATGCCTCTCACCCCACCCACGGGCCTCTCAAGAGCCTCTCACCTCATCTGTTGACACGCGATCAGCGCCCTCCTTGCTCTCTCCACTGCCCCAGCACTCACTCTCCTCGCCTCCTCCACCACACCAATCGCCTCCTTTCCCCTTCCTGTCACCACCCCAATCGATTTCAAGTCCCCTAGACTAAAAAATCCACCCACGTGCCTCTCTCTCACCTCATGCTGTTGACCACGCGATCAGCACTCTCCTTGCTCTCTCCACTACGCAAAAAAACAAAAAAAAATGAACCAAGTGATTTTGAGACGTCTCAAAACCACCTTTAAGCTAAAAAAGAAACACGTGAGGCTTTCCCCTCCGCAGCCCACCTGTGCCCCCTCAACACAAGCAAGGCTCTCACCTCATGCTGTTGACACGCGATCAGCACTCTCCTAGCTCGCTCCACTGCCCCAGCATCCACTCTCCCTGTGTCCTCCACCAAACCAATCGCCTCCTTCCCCCTTTCTGCCACCATCCCAATCACCTTAACCAGCTCATCCACACTCACATTCGCATGCCCCTGCCTCCCCTTCACTCCCCCACTTCCCCCGCCCCCTCCCCCCCCTCCACTCCCTCTAAACCCTCCTCCTCCCGTACCCTTTGCACCACCCATTTGACCCTCCGAACCAGGTGTGCCCGGCAGCTTCGGCCTGCCAGGTCCGGCAGGGGAACCAGGTTCGGCATCCATCAGGCCCGGTGTGGCCATGAGCTTTTTTATCGCAGGTTCGGTGCATCTGGCTGCTCTAAACTCGGCCGATGGGGGCATGAAAGGGGCGCGATTCGGGTCGAAGAAATCGGCGATTGCGGTGGGATGGGAGGGGTCTTGGGAAGCGATGGTGAGTTCGATCGACGGGCGGCGTAGAATTTCCATCGCGATGCTCCGGGCAACGCAGTCGGAAATTTGCCTGCCCGGCGGGCAGCCGGAGCAGGAGGATTGGTCGGAGGGGGGCTGTGAGGGATGGGGGTAAAGGTGGGAGGAAAGGAGAGAGGGAGAGAGGGAGAGAGAAAAAAAAACCTTCAGTGGAAGGGTTGGGAATTCGGCAGTAAACAGAGGCAGGACATAACTTTCTGTGAGAGAGGGGAGGAGCAGGAAATAGGAGGAGTAGGGTTGTGTTTTTTGAGAATTCTCAAGAAATAGGAGTAGGATTGGGATTACATACATCAACAAGACGGCTGTGCTCTGGGTGACAAGTGTCATGTTGAGATTGGTGGACGCGTGTATTAGAGAAGAAACGAGAGTTGCACAAGGAGAAGAGAGGAGGAGAAGAGAGGAGTGAGGGTAGTGGTACATACATCAACATAGATGGCTGTGCTCTGGGTGACAAGTGTCATGTTGAGATTGGTGGACTCCACAATGCCTCTCACTGCCTCCGATGGCTGCAGGCGAGCATAGCAGCGGTGAAACTCCTCCAGCACCAAACACCCCACCACCTTCTCCTGTTGGGAAGGACACACAAGTGGGTACAAACGAGGATCAAATGGGGCAGAGATTGGTGGACTCCACAATGCCTCTCACTGCCACCGAGGGCTGCAGGCGAACGTAGCAGTGGTGAAACTCCTCCAGCACCAAACACCCCACCACCTTCTCCTGTTGTTGGGGGAGAGAGAAAGTGATTGTGGCAGAGCAAGGGGGCACATGGGAGGCATGAAGGGAAGGGATGGCTGCAGGAGCGCGTGGCGGTGATGAAAATCCTCCAACACCAAACACCTTTTGAGGCGTCTCAAAAGTCCTCCAACACCAAACAAACACCTTTTGAGGCGTCTCAAAAGTCCTCCAACACCAAACAAACACCTTTTGAGGCGTCTCAAAAGTCCTCCAACACCAAAGACCCCACCACCTTCTGCTGTTGATTGAGGAAAAGCCGAATAAGTACAAGAGAGGCACGAGGCACAGACACCCACACGTAACCCGCGTAAGGCACGAGTTTCAATTCCTGCTACAAAGCAGGTACAAGTGAGGCACGAGTTTCAATTCCTGCTACAAAGCAGGTACAAGTGAGGCACGAGTTTCAATTCCTGCTACAAAGCAGGTACAAGTGAGGCACGAGGCACAGACGCCCACACGTCGAAGGAGACATGCACCCTCTATTCTCTGCACCCCCCCTCCCTCCCCCAAAACTCACGAAGTTGGTGCGGTTGAGTGCTTGCACAGACACCCACACGTGCAGAGAGAGACGTGCACACTATATCCTCTGCCTACAGCCTCGGCCCACACCCTTGAACGTCTAACCCCTTATGCCACCCCCCCCCCCCCCCCCCCTCGGCCCACACCCTTGAACGTCTAACCCCTTATGCCACCCCCCCCCCCCCTCGGCCCACACGCTTGAACGTCTAACCCCTTATGCCACCCCCCCTCCCCCCCCCTCCCCCTGCACTCACGAAGTTGGTGCGGTTGAGCGCCCTCACAGACACCCACACGTGCAGAGAGAGCCACTCCGCACAGTTGGCCCAAACACTGCTCCCTCCCCACATACTGCCCCCTGCACTCACGAAGTTGGTGCGGTTGAGCGCCCTCACAGACACCCACACGTCCAGAGAGAGCCGTTCCGCTTCAGAGGGGTCCAGCGCTGCGCTGCTGCGCCCGCACTGCCCAAACCGCATCTGGCGTGGTGGGGGGGGGGAATGTGGGCGCGGGGAGCACAGCGGGGGGATGTGGGGGGATGAGAAGGAGAGTGGAGGAGGAAGAGCGGGGTAGAGCACACGGGGGGGAATGTGGGAGGGTGGCGGAGAGCAGGTGGGAAGGAATGTTGAAGAGGAAGGGGAGAGGAGGAGGGGGAGGCAGGGGCAATGTGCGTATGATGAGGAATACCCACATTCTCCATGTTCTCATTATTGCCTTATCGCTCGTTTCTAACGACAGGGATGCGCAGGAAGCGCTCTTCTGGCAGTACCTGCCAATAGCAACTTAAGACTGTCGTAAAAGTAAACCGCGTTAATACCCCACACCGTACCGTTTTGGGCACAAACGGGTGCGCGAGGAACGCTCTCGTGGCTGTAACGGGCGACAGCGCTCCCCCCGTATCAATCACCATCGGCCCGCCTCCCCGTCCGCCCCCTTTCGCCCCGCCTCCCCCTCTCTCCCCGGCCATAGTCACTTCCTCCCTATCCCCCCTCTTTGGCTCTCTTCTTCCCCAAGTGAATTTCCCCCTTGACCGCGCGCTCTCCCCCCCTGATCTTCCCCCGCCCGCTCCTCCGCCGCCGCCCAATAGAATTTCACTGGGCGGCACGTAGATCATCCCCTCGTCTTTTAGCCAAACGACACGGAGAGAGAGGCGGGAAATGGCGGCGGTGGCGTTGGCTAAGCAGAGAGTTTGAATGCGATTCGAGAGGGGACCCATGGCGAATGCGATCATTTTGTATCGTGAGCACGTCGCAGCGCTGGGGGATTCGTCGCACGGGTCGCGCAGCTCGTCGCTCACGATCATTCGTCGGCTGTCGCCGTCGTCGTCGTCTGCGAAATCGATGTACTTCGCGTAGCGTCGCAGGAGCGACGAGTGGTGCAAGAATGCGATTGCGGTGAGGACGAAAATTGTTGCAGGAACGAGCGTCGCCTTGCGACGCCATGGCGATGCTTTCGATCCAGTTTTAGTCGCAGGCGATTTCCGCGAGCTTCTCGTAGTTTCTCCTGAGGAAGTACTATTTGGTCTAGGGACCTCCGTTACGGCCATGTCTTGCATTCGATCAACTAGCCCTAAAATTCGAGTCACGTGCAACAGGGAGTTGACCATTAACAAATCGTTCTATTGTCCTAATCGTGCGAGGATTGTAGCGAGTTTTGGAAAATGCAGGCCAGGCGACGGCTATTTGCTTGGATCTAGCCGACGCGCAATTCCCTTGGTTTGAAGCCTAGAAAATCACCAGAAAAGAGGTGGAGTGGGGGGACATGGGATTGTATTGTGATTGGTGGGTTGGCGAAACGTTGTGTTCTGACAAGAACTGATAGATATCCATCATATGCCATCTGGGAACGCAACGAGTATATGTTTCAAACGAGGATGGAATGACAAGATGATGGCGGGAAAGATGGTGGCGAGGCGTAAAGGACGGCCCTTGCGCGCAGAAACTCCGAGATGGTGAACCATGGCGATAATTCCTTGTTTTGAATTTACTCTATAGTGAATACTTGCTCACATTCAATGAGCGAGAACATGCTTGTTTCGCGTATTTGAGACAATCTGACCCCTGATCTTCGAATCTTTCCGCGAAAACCTTCGTGCAGCTGTTCCGTGGTTTCTGATCACAAACACTTCGTAGCATCGTATCTCATATGGTAACTCAAGCCTTAAAAGCTCGCACATGTTGAAAGAGCCCCCAGTGCACCCGGGAACGATGGCCGTCTCCTAGTTTCGTGCACCTGTTACGCTTCGCTGTTTTCGCATAACGTGCGTCATAGCGCAACCTTCACCCGTGCCGCACAGACCGAGCCGCATCCTTTCATTGGAATCCTTTTCAGCAGAAACCCATATCAGCCGAACACACACAAAACAGCTAGCAGAGGTTTCCTCGAGGCACAGTTCCTCTTTCGCAAAATCAGACGGCGATTCCTCCAAGTCACAACAACAGCAAGTAGTAATGCGGATCACATGGCGGCTGACCTGGAAATCCACTTTCATCGGCTGCTTGATGAGCCTTCCTCTTTCTTGCGATTTTCCGGCGAACGCGGCGACAGTATGTCGCATTCGCCGCATGACACTACTGTGAAGTACCCTCAGACAGGGGCGCGTGAAGGTCCACACGAACGCCATCAGAAGAAAGGCTCTCTGCGTACGCGCAGCAGTCCTGGCAGCAGCAGCCGCAGCCTAAGCAAATCTGGCTCTGGCACAATTAGCGACCGGGCTGTGACCTTTACGAATCTAAAGGATCCTAGGCCGTGCGGAAGTATAGTTTCCCGCGCTTGGATCAGAAGACTGGCGTGACCTCTTATTTCGGACATTCCCTGCGTCACAGAGCTGCGCGGGTCGAAAATCAGAAATCAAGGGCACCAGACCACAGCGAGAGGCTAGTTATTTCAAGCTCGCAATACCTTATTGCCATACTCAAACGTCCCGATTAAAGAAAACCTGAGCGTTTTACTGCTAATTTGGCGGTTGTGCGCCGCCGGCGGCCTCGCCCACCAGGACGCTCGGATTGGCGCCCTCGCTTCATTCGAGGCGCTCACCACGACTCGGCATCATGGTGCGTGGACAGGGGTGTCACTCGAAGCCCTGAAACGCGAGAGGGGAATTGTATGCTGAATCTGGTTTTTTGAGAATTCTCAAAGAATAGATTCTCACCACGACTCGGCATCATGGTGCGTGGACAGGGGTGTCACTCGAAGCTCTGAAACGCCGGATTCAGCCAGTTTAAATACGGGAAGTTCATCACGTTTTCATTCCGATCAACCATGCAACGTTCGCACAAACCGAGCTTGAACCGTCCAAATTGTCTTCTGAAGGTCGGTTTGATCTTCCGAGTATGTAACAGCCTCTGACACTCTCTCTCTCCCCGCCTCCCGCTCTCAACTCGTGGTTTGCAGGGTCCTGTGCTGGTTCCGCGCTTCGGAGAGTGGAACGAAACGCCTCTTTCGCCCTCTCCAGATGTTCTTTCGCCCACAGGAGTCACTGGCGATACAGTTACCAGACGAACCGGATCTCGCTCCCACCAAGCCTCTCGTCAATCCTCCCCAGCTTCCGCGCGCCAGTCCCGCTCCACGTCTCCAAACCTCCGACAGCCATTGATCGCCCTCCAGCGCCGATCCGACGGCTCTCCTGCTGCCACGCCATCTCGTGGCCACGAGCCAAATCTCGTGCGGAGCAGCAGCAGCGGATTTGGAGGATGGCGTCGCAGACGACCAGCCAGCCCTGTTGCTTCTATCAATAGTAACACTACTATGAATACCACTGCCCTTTGTATTAGTACCAGTTCTACCACTAGTGTTTCTACTGCTAAAGGTTGCACCCAGAATGCACCAGTGCTGCCGAGCACCCGCGCACGCCTTGTCAGCACAGCAACAGCAGCTGCTGCAGCAGCAGCACGGGCAGCACAAGCAGCAGCAGCAGCAGCAGCAGCAAACGTGCCAGCAACAGGATCCCAAACCAGCCGCCCGAGCCTCGCGAGGCTCCCAAGCCTTGGGAACCTCCCGAACCTCACAAGCCCGAGGCAAGGCGAGGTCACGTCCTCAGCTCAAGGCAAATCTCTGGGTGAGATTCTGAGGAGGCAGAGGGAGGAGGGAGGGGGGCATGGAGGGGGGGTGTACTCGGGAGAATTCCTTAAAGCCCGCCTTGCTCGGAGCGCCAGTGCTTCCCGTGCCTCCCTGCTGCAATCCCAAGGGAGCAAATCCCGAGGAACCGAATCCCCAGGGATCCAATCTCGAGAGATCGAATTCAAAGAAACCAAATCCCGAGAATCGGAATCAAGAAGGCGCCTGGAGCAGAAGGGGGAGCATGGAGGTTCAGATTTTACCAGGAACCGTGTTTCCCAGATAACGCCTGCTAACATGTCCCTGTGGAGGCACCGTGAAATCAGCAGCAACAGCAGCAGCAACAGCAACGGCAGCAAGCACGGGTGGCACGGGCATACAGGGATGGGCCAGGGGTCGAGTAAGAGTGGGTGGGCCGGCAGAAGCAGTGGGGTTCGGTCCAGCTTGACGGCCAAAACCAGCCGGCCAGTCAGTTTCCTGACGGCTAGCAGTAAGGGCGGGGTGGGTGATGCCGAGGAGACGGATTCTTGTGGGATTCTGACGGCCAGAAGTGCGGATTCTGCCGGTTTGACAGATTCTGTTTGCTTGACGGATCATTTGACGGATTCTGCTAGCTTGACGGATTCCTTGACGGATTCTGTCAGCTTGACAGGTAACAGGTCGATGGACGTGAGCGGGAAGCATCTGATGGATGAGATGAGCCGAGTCAGCATGTCAAGCCAGGCCAGCATGGGGTACAGCCACGTCAGCAAGGGATCCAGCCAAATCAGCGCTGGCTCAAGCCATGTTGACAGCACCGCCGAGTCATCAACATCCTCCTCAAGCCACGTCAGCAGGGCGTCCATGTCAGCATGGTCGCCACGTAGGCTTGGGAGCCCGCTCAGGTTCGGCAGCCCGTTTGGTTCATGGAAAACAAGCAGCCGCAATTCCGAGGCTAGCAGCAGTCGTGACACTAAAGAGAGTGATGACAATAACGAGGGGAAGAGGAGGTATGGTAGCGCCAAACGAGCAACTAATAATTCTCGCAGGGATGGGTGGCTCAGCAATGGTAAGAAGGTTCCTGAAATCAGCGCTGACGTCAGCTTCGTCAGCACTGACATCAGCAACGTCAGCAATGATGCTAGCTGCGTCAGCAGTTACATCAGCCACATCAGCAGGGATGTCAGCCACGTCAGCAGCACCATCAGCGGCAGCAGGAACCTGACCAATTCCAGCGCGCCATATCGTGATGACGTCAGTTGCACGGACGATGACATCAGCAACCCAAGTGGGAATCTCGATGACAGCGGCAGCATCAGTACACTCCGTACCCCTTATAGTCCCACCGGCAGCAGCGCGGGCAGCAGCGGGACGACAGGCAAAAGCAGGCGAACAGTCATACCGAAATTTGGTGAATGGTTGGATCCAAAACGCGAGAACACCCGCACGGTATACAATAGTGAGTCCACTCGTAAAGAGTACAATGGTGGTCGTTACAGTGCAGATCGAGACGTTACCACCAGCAGCAGTATTAGCAGCAGAATCAGCAGCAGCAACCTTCGGAACCACCACCACCCCCTCCTCCCCCCGGAAACGACCCTGAGTGAAACCAGTAGCATCTGCACCAGGAGTAGCACAAGCCACCCCAGCAACAGCAGCAGACATACCGGCTACACCAGCCACATCAGCAGCAGCAACAGCAGCAAGTACACATGCAGTATCCAGAGCAGGGGGAGGGGGCAGAGTGCAGAGACAAGGTCTAGAAGCAGCAACAGCGACACACACAACAGCAGAAGCAGCGCAGACACCAGCAGCAGTAAATACAGCAACAGCAGCAGGAACTATAACAGCAATTACAGCAGCAACTATGGCAGCGACCACAGGAGCAGTCACAAGGGCAGTTCTGCTCGCAGTGGCTTGGAAAGGAGAGAGGAGGAGGAGCAGGAGCAGGAGGATTTCCCTTACTCGGAGGTGTTTGAACGGGCGAGGAGAGAGAGGCGTGAGACACAGGCTGCAAGGGAGAGAAGAGCAGCGGACAAGGAGGAGGCGGAGGAGTTCGGAATACGGAGTGAGAGGGAGAGGGAGAGGGGGGGTGAGAGGGAAAGTGAGAGAGGGAGTGAGCGAGGGAGTGAGAGAGGGAGTGAGAGAGGATCTGAAGTGAGCGGGGATGAGAGGCATGGGATTAAAGAGAGTGTGGAGCAAAGGAGGAGCTTGGATGGGCGAGTGAGTGGGAGCAGTGCAATGACTAGCGTAGGAAGGGATAGTGAAGCCAGTGAGGGTGTAGGGTTACCACCAGGAAGGGATACAGGGGGCATTGGAGCAGCAGCAAAAGCAGTTGTGGGTGTAGCGGCAACAAGAAAGGCGCTTCTCACCTGTGAGAGCAGTGGGGAAGCAGCGAGGCTTCAGCAGAGGATGGTGCGGGAGATGGCTGTTAGGCGATTAGCAGGAAGAGGAGGAAGCGGAGGAGGCAGGATTGACACAGGGGAGCAGAGAGGGGCGGCCACGTCCGGTTCGGACCCTTCCGAACCTCTGCAAGAGGCCAGGGAGAGCTTGGGAGATGGGACAGCTGGGGAGGGGCGAGAGAAGAAAGGAGGGCAAGAGGGAGAGGAGGAGAGGGAGAAGGGGTATGAGGAGGAGAGGGGAGACGCGGAGAAGGGGAGGGATGAAGGGTGGCAGGTGGGAGAACCGGTGAAGATGCAGAGAGGTGTGGCAGTGCTGCTGCACACCGCTGCTGGGAGGGGTTTTCCTGGTGCTGATGCTGCCCTGATTTCTAATGCTGCGTGTTTGCATGCTGTTGGTTCTGCAGCAGCAGAACCACGCACCAGCAGCATAGGCCTGCACGCCGATCGTTGTTCTGCACTGGCCTCGAGGGCTGCAGGGCTGTACACTGGTGTACAGGAGTGTGAGTCACTGGTGCCAAGCTCTACAGTGCTGCACAGGAGTGTGAGTGTTGGGGCGGTGGAGTGGGGGCGAGGGAGTGAGGAAGCCGCCAGGGGGCTGAAGCAGATTAGTGAGTGGCTGGAGCGGCAGGAGGAGGAGGGGGTGGGTGGAGTGGGCGTAGTGGTTGGTGCAGTGAGTGGGGTGAATGGGGTGAATGGCGTGAATGGGTTGAATGGGGTGCAAGGGATGCTGGGGAGTGTGACTAAGCCTGTCAGTTCAGCAGCACAGTCTCAAGCCCGTGTGGTTCAAATCAGCCCAGCTATTCAGGAGCTCACTTCCAGCTCCCTTCCATCCTCTCACAGCATAGTTCGAATCGCCCCAGCTCTTCAGGAGCCCTCACAGCGGCACTTTTGGAGGAACCTGCCTCTCGCCCTGCCCACAGCCCCTGCTGCAGCATCAGCAGCAGCAGGAGGGGGGGCAGGAGGAGGAGCAGCAGGAGAGGGAGCAGGAGGAGGAGCAGCAGGAGGGGGAGCAGGAGGAGGAGCAGCAGGAGGAGGAGCAAGTGGAGCAGGAGCAGTAGTGCTCCTCTCACAGGACTCTGATACATCATCTGCATCCTCATCAGCAGCAGCAGCAGCAGCAGCAGCAGCAGCAGCAGCAGCAGCAGCAGCAGCAGCAGCAGGAGCAGCACCACCACCACCCACAACAGCTGCACCACCACCACCAGCAATCCCACCCATATCAGTAGCAACCACAGCATTGCTCCCTCTGAAGCTATCCCATCCCTTTCAAAGGACGCTCTCGGGCAGCCGAATGCTTCCGGGCAGGCCGTCGGGCAGCTGGGAAAACATCTCTCTGGGCGGAGACTTGGAGGATGGTGGGGCTGGGCAGATGGTTGGTGGGCAGCTGAGCAGAGTGCGAGTGAGCGACTATCAGATGCTTCAAGCCCACAAGGTGAGATAGCAGAAGGAGAGATGGCAGAAGGTGAGATGGCAGAAGGTGAGATGGCAGAAGGTGAGATGGCAGAAGGTGAGATGGCAGAAGGAGAGATGGCAGAAGGTGAGATGGCAGAAGGTGAGATGGCAGAAGGTGAGATGGCAGAAGGTGAGATGGCAGAAGGTGAGATGGCAGAAGGTGAGATGGCAGAAGGTGAGGTGGCAGAAGGTGAGATGGCAGAAGGTGAGATGGCAGAAGGTGAGATGGCAGAAGGTGAGATGGCAGAAGGTGAGATGGCAGAAGGTGAGATGGCAGAAGGTGAGATGGCAGAAGGTGAGATGGCAGAAGGTAAGAGATTGAACAAGGTAATGCCCCTCACTCACTCACCGTGAGAGGATAGTGGGGCTAGGCAGTTGGTTGGTGGGCAGCTGAGCAGAGCGCGAGTGAGCGAGTATCAGATGCTTCAAGCACCCAAGGTACGATACGACAAGGTACGATAGGACAAGGTACGATAGGACAAGGTAATACCCCTCTGCATATCTTCCATGCAGATACACCCATGGCATACCCTTGAGAATTCCCTCTGCGCTTCTGTCCTCATTTACCCTCCCACCTACCTTCCATCCTTTCCCCCTCCACTCTTCCCCATCGCTCCCATGTGAGCAGGCATCCCCATGGCTCATGTGTTGCGGCCTTCCCTCCGTGCTGCCGTGACCGCAAGCCACCGCTGCTCAGCTCGAGAGTAACCTCTTACACGCTGCGCTACCGTCATCCCCCGAATATAAGACATATATGTCTTATCTCGTACACTAGAAAAAATGCCTGGGTTATCTTGTATTTGGGGAGGTTTTGGGTGTCTTTTAAGTCTTATAAATGGACAAAGAACCGTTTAGAAGATACCCCCTCGTTATACAATTGCCCCTAACCCTTACGCTGGCTTAACTCGTACACACAAATAGGTGTCTAATAATGAGGCTAGCCTGTTTATAAGAGACACCTGGATAATAGACAACTCATGTTTACTATTCAACACTGTCTACTATCCGGGCGATGACGGTATCTCTTCCTTCTCTCTTCTCTCCTCCAGCCCATCGCTCCCGTACTGGCAGGCATCCCCATGGCGCATGTGCTGCGGCCTTCCCTCCGTGCTGCCATGAACGCAAGCCACCACTGCACGTTCCACACGCCACAAGTTCACTACCAGCACCGCCGTACACCCAAGGACGCATGGGCATGGGGCTCTTGGGCTCACCATAGTAAGCAACGCCAAGGCTCTGCAACCTCAGCACTGCATGCCCAGCCACTGTGGGCGGGCGTTCTTCCTGTAAAGGTCATTCCTCCGCATCGCATGTGCTGTTGTGGCCCTTGCATCGCCGATGCGGCCTGGGACGGGATGGTGGGAGGAAGGGATGTGCCATCCAGCGAGAATGCAAGCTGGCACCACAGGGCCAACAAGTAATGAAAATACTTGCTGTACCTAGCGTGGAGTGAGGGACGGGTGACATCGTTAGGGCAGAGGGGCTGGTGGGGTGGTGAAGCCTCTTCCATACCGTATTTGTGAAGGGGGGCAGAGGGGCTGGTGGGCTGGTGGGGTGGTGAAGGTACCGTATTTGTGTGTGCTGTGAATGTAACTCGCAATCTATCCTAGCTGGCAGCATCGTCTCTTGAAGCGGATCTTTCTCACGGGACAATGCCTTGTTCCAGCATTGTGTGTCAGGGAATATCTGCTTCAGCATTGTGTGTCTGGGAAGGGGCTGTTCCAGCTGCTGCTGCTCCGACTGCTTCGTTCATAACCTGGGACTCCTCAGCCCAGCAGTACCTTGCATAGTCACCAGGATTTGTTGTTATATGGAGAATGTATAATCTTTCGCCAGAGGTTTATCCAAAATGTGTTGCATTCTGTTGCCGTACCATTTCAACATATCTGTGCCCATTGAAATAGTATCTACCTACTCAAAGCACAAAAACGCGAACAGTAGAACCACCCAATGCCCAGTCCCCTTGCTCCCATAAACAGCTGTCGCTCCCCCCCTCCAATTCCGTTGCCCCCGCACTATAATATTCCATTCCATCCTGCTCATAAAACCATCCCACACCACATTTCCCACTTCCTCACAATACCACATCACCACATTTCCAAGGCCATCCATGCCTTTAAATCCTCAACCCTTCTTCCTCCTTCCCCACCTTCGAGTCCTGTTTCATTCTTCACCACTCTTCACCTTTACCACTCTTCACCACTCCCCTCTCCACCGCAAAACCACTCAACACCTCCAAGCCCAACCCAGCCTTCTTCAAATCCGCTTCAATCCACCTCTGTGACTCTCCTGAATCCTGCCCCACTTTTTCACTGGTTTCTTGGCTCATCATTCTTGACTTAAAGCCTCTCACACCCTCACAATGTCAGCACCTCCAAAGCAAGCCCAGCCTTCTTCAAGTCCTCTTCAAGCCGCCTCTTTGCCTCCGCCTCATCCTTCCCCTCCTCTGTCACAACCTTACTAAGCTCCTTTGCCCCTGCTTTCCTCAACACCTCCACCACCCCCTCCCCTTTCCCCGCCTCGCTCCCCTCAATCGCCTTAACCGCAGCCACCACCACCGCCCGCCTCCTCCCGCCATCATACGACATCTCACACACAGACTTGAGTAAGCCGAAATCCGCCGCCCCGGCTGCCACAAAGCCGCCCAGCCACTCGCCCAGGAATCTCGGCGCCTGCGGCACGTCCAGCGCCAGGTCATCGAGCTGCTCGGCCAATGAGAGCATGCCAGCTGTCAGCGCGCTCTCGCCCTTGTCGCTCTGTGCGAACGCGCCCTTGGAGTGCAGGTGGGAGAGCAGCCGCCCCACCTCCACACACTCCTTCTCCTTGCCGCCCTCCAGGGCGAAATTCGCGGCAAATTCAACGAACCGGGACGAAACCTCGTGGGATTTCTGCGAGCCAAGCTCCTCCATACACAGCTGAGCCTCCTTAAGATCCAGAACGGCGAAAAACTCCTTGAGAAGAGATTCAGACTTCCTCTTTGCCACATCATCCCACGTGCCTGACACTGCCGCCGCTGCTACCGGCTTTGCTGCTGCGGCTGGGCCGTTGCTAGCAGCGGCAGGGGCGGCGGCAGGAGCGGCAGCAGGCTTGGGAGCCGCAGGTTCGGCTGGTCTGACAGGAGCAGGCTTGGCACCAATCAGAGCGCTCGGCTTGCCGATGAATGCCGACGAACCTCCCATGCCCGGACCCATACCTGGGCCCATTTTGAGCCCCATGCCTGGCCCCATGATCGGTACCGCACCTGCAGCTGCAGCTCCCTGCCGAGCCTGCCCGGCAGCTCCGGCAGTATCCTTCTTCGCCCGCCGACCAATCGAAACCGTCTCCCACCCATCCAGATCCACAGGAGGCACCATACCTCCCACCAAGCCTCCGGGCATGCCCGGCATCCCCGGACCTCCGGGCCAGCCAGGCCCGGGAGGGAACATCATCCCCGGACCTCCAGGCATGGCTCCCGAGGCTGCGCCGACCCTGAGCGACGCAGCGCCCTTCCTCAGCCCGAGCGTGGCCTCAGCTTCGGCATGAATCTGATCCAGCTTCTTAGCAGTGAGCTCCTTCCTACGTGGCACCCACTTATTGGACCGCAGGTCGACCAGATCGCGGCACATGAAGCGGATGCGAGAGGGCAGCGTGGGGGAGTTCGAGAGGGCTTTAAGGCGGTCAAAGTAGGCGTTGAGGAGGACCGGGTTGGCCTTGCCGGCGGGTTTCTCCTCCATGCCTCGCCCGGCTGTGGACAGCAGCTGGCAGAGCGCTTCAATGTTCTCCTCTGGAGGCTCCGTCTTGCTGTCTCCTTGCAGCTCCTGGGATGGGGGGGTTGCGGAGGGAGAACGGGGTGGGGAAAGGGTGGAAAAGGTAGGGAATATTGGGGAAAGAATGGGAAGGGGTAGCAGCTGGCAGAGCGCCTCAATGTTCCCTTCTGGGGGCTCCGTCTTGCTGTCTCCTTGGAGCTCCTGGGAGGGAAAGGAGGGGGGGAAGGTTAGGAAAGAACAATGGGGAAGGAATGGGAGAATGAGAAGGGAGATCAGCTGGCAGAGCGCCTCGATATTCTCCTCTGGAGGCTCCGTCTTGCTGTCTCCTTGCAGCTCCTGAGAGTTGAGGGGGAAGAAAGTGGAGGAGAGGAGCAGGGGCAAGGGAGGAATGGCCGTGGGAATCATCTTCTGCTCGTCGAATTCTCCAGCCATGTTCATCTCCTTATGACCTCTGCTCTCTGCTCAACCAACTCCCTACAGCCCCTGCTCTCTGCCACTCCCAACCTGTCTCGGTGTCCTGTTAACCAGCTCTCCTCGCACCTCTCCTAACCACTTCTATCTCACCTGAGCGCACGCGTGAACGATCTTCTCAGGAATCATCTTCTGCGTGTACAGCTCTCCGATCAGCCTGATGCTACCTGCCTCAGATGCTACCTGCCTCAGATGCCACCTGCCTCAGATGCTACCTGACTCAGATGCTACCTGTCTCAGATGCCACCTGCCTCAGATGCTACCTGCCTCAGATGCCACCTGCCTCAGATGCCACCTGCCTCAGATGCCACCTGCCTCAGATGCTACCTGCCTCAGATGCTACCTGCCTCAGATGCTACCTGCCTCAGATGCCACCTGCCTCAGATGCCACCTGCCTCAGATGCCACCTGCCTCAGATGCTACCTGCCTCAGATGCTACCTGCCTCAGATGCTACCTGCCTCAGATGCTACCTGCCTCAGATGCTACCTGCCTCAGATGCTACCTGCCTCAGATGCTACCTGCCTCAGATGCCACCTGCCTCAGATGCTACCTGCCTCAGATGCCACCTGCCTCAGATGCTACCTGCCTCAGATGCTACCTGCCTCAGATGCTGCCTCAGATGCTACCTGCCTCAGATGCCACCTGCCTCAGATGCTACCTGCCTCAGATGCTACCTGCCTCAGATGCTACCTGCCTCAGATGCTACCTGCCTCAGATGCTACCTGCCTCAGATGCTACCTGCCTCAGATGCTACCTGCCTCAGATGCTACCTGCCTCAGATGCCACCTGCCTCAGATGCTACCTGCCTCAGATGCCACCTGCCTCAGATGCTACCTGCCTCAGATGCTACCTGCCTCAGATGCTACCTGCCTCAGATGCTACCTGCCTCAGATGCCACCTGCCTCAGATGCTACCTGCCTCAGATGCTACCTGCCTCAGATGCTACCTGCCTCAGATGCTACCTGCCTCAGATGCTACCTGCCTCAGATGCCACCTGCCCCACACAGTACCTGGGCGCACGCATGAACGATCTTCTCAGGAATCATCTTCTGCTTGTACAGCTCTCCGATCAACTTGATGCTACCTGCCTCAGATGCCACCTGCCTCAGATGCTACCTGCCTCAGATGCCACCTGCCCCACACAGTACCTGGGCGCACGCATGAACGATCTTCTCGGGAATCATCTTCTGCTTGTACAGCTCTCCGATCAGCCGGATGTTCCCCTGCGTGCGAGCCTTCACCCGCCGCTGCACGTCCTCCCTCTCCTCGGCCTGCCACAGGGAAGAAAAGAGGCATGGGCGGGGGCGGAGGGCAAGGGGCGACAAGGGGCATGGGCGGGGAGGGCAAGCGGCGACAAGGGGCATCGTGGGGAGACAAGGGGCATCGTGGGGAGACAAGGGGCATCGTGGGGAGACAAGGGGCATCGTGGGGAGACAAGAGGCATCGTGGGGCGACAAGAGGCATCTCTCAGTGTTCCCCTGCGTCCCTTCACCCGCCGCTGCCACTACACGTCCTCAATCTCTTCCGCTTTCCACACACAAACACGCAACAAAGCAGCAACAACCCGAAACCCGTCCCCCCCTGCCAGACAGACCCGAAACCCTTCACTCACCCACCCCACCCTCACCTGCTCAGCCTTGGTCAGTCCCTTCAGTTCCTGCCGCAGCTTCAGCGCCTGCTCAAACTCCTCCTGGCACGTGTTGAGCAGAATCCTCCTAAACGTCATCCCCTCCCCTCCCACCCTCCCCTGCCTAACCCAAAACATTTTAACACCACAACATTCTCACCTGCTCCGCCTTGGTCAATCCCTTCAACTCCTGCCGCAGCTTCAGCGCCTGCTCAAACTCCTCCTGGCACGTGTTGAGCAGAATCCGAATGAAACCCATACCCTTCCCTCCCTCCCACCCTGCCATCTCACTCCCCATGCCTAACCCAAACCCCTTCAACCCTGCCAGACCCTCATCTGCTCCGCCGTGGTGAGCCCCTTCAGTTCCTGCCGCAGCTTCAGCGCCTGCTCAAACTCCCCCTGGCAGGTATTCAACAAAATTCTCCGGAAAGTAACCGGCTTGTCGAACCCTTCGGGCCCGGGAAACTGCGGCAGCGCGTGGGAGAGCTTGTCGCAGAGCTCGGCGTACATGGGTCAGAACGTGGGCTCGTCCACTGCTTTGCCAACTCCCCTCCCTCTCTTCCCACCCTTCCCACTCTTCCCACTCTTCCCACCCTTCCCACGCGTCCCACCCACACCAGACCCCTCACCTGCTCAGCCTTGGTCAATCCCTTGAGCTCCTGCCGCAGCTTCAGCGCCTGCTCGAACTCCTCCTGGCACGTGTTGAGCAGAATCCGCCTGAAAGTAACCGGCTTATCCGACCCTTCCGGCCCCGGGAACTGCGGCAGCGCGTGGGAGAGCTTGTCGCAGAGCTCCGCGTACATGGGGCAGAACGTGGGCTCGTCCACTGCCTTGTCAAAGATGAGCGAGATCACCTCCTGCAGTCGCTCCGCGGAGGTGATGCCCGACTCCAGCATCTGCTGCAGCAGCACGTCGAATTTCTCAGGCGTGAGCTTGTTCAGGATACTGGGGGAGGGGTAGGGGTGTGGGGGGCAAGAGCGGGGGACAGGGCACAGAGGCACGGGACAGGCACGGGTCAGGCATGGGGCAGGGCATGGGTGTGAAGGTGGGTTCGTCCACAGCCTTGTCGAAGATGAGCGAGATCACCTCCTGCAGACGCAGGAGGAGGTGATGACAGCTTTTTCCTTCTCGCCCACGGCTCCCTTTCGAGTTCATTTCCCATTTGCCTCAGCTTCGCTTCCGCCTCTCCATCCCATACCTTTCCCTATGCCTCGCCCCATGATCCCCCCATGCCTTCCCTCATACCTCTCCCCATAATTCCTCCCGTACCTTTCCCTATACCTCCCCCCCATGATCCTCCGATGTCTTCCCTCATACCTCCCCTTATGATTCCTCCCATGCCTTCCCCCATACCTCCCCCCATGATTTCCCCCAGGCCTTGCCCCGTACTTTCCCCCGCGCCTCACCCCTTGACAGTTCGCAGAACCTTCTCCTTCTCGTCCACGGCGCCGCGACGTGGCATCCACGGATTGGCCGCCTTCACTATCGGGACCGCAGGGCCGTCCGCCTGGACCAAAAGAGAGGGGGGGGGGGGGAGAGGGGGTGAGAAGAGTGGCACATTAACTCATGCATCCACGGATTGGCCGCCTTCACTATAGCACCGCCGGGCCGTCCGCCAGGACGTGTCCGGATAGAGGAGGGGGAGACGAGGGGGAGGGGAGGGGAGGAGAGGGGGGACAAGGTGCAGCCATGTGAGTCGTGCTCAACCGGCCGCCTTCACTATCGGCACCGCCGGGCCGTCCGCCTTAACGGGAAGAGAAGGGGATATCCATGGAGGAAAGGGCGGAGGGAAGGGGGGCGGGAATGGGGCAAGAAGGGGGGCGGGAGCGAGGGAGAGAGGGGGTTAAGAGGGAATGGAGGGAGGAAGCGAAGCAGAAGGAGAGGGGGAAACGAGCAGGAGAGAGCGCGAGAGAGAGGAGACGGTGGAAAGAAGAAAGGGGGGCGAAAGGAGGTACCACTCCCATTCCCACCACTGCTACTCCCATTCCCACCACTGCTACTCCCATTCCCACCACTGCCACTCTCATTCCCACCACTGCCACTCCCATTCCCACCACTGCCACTCCCATTCCCACCACTGCCACTCCCATTCCCACCGCTGCCACTCCCATTCCCACCGCTGCCACTCCCATTCCCACCGCTGCCACTCCCATTCCCACCGCTGCCACTTCCATTCCACCACTGCCACTCTGATTCCCACGACTGTCACTCACGTTCCCAGCCTGTCCCTGCTGTTGCTGCTGCTGCTGCTGTCCCCCCTGCTGCTCCCCGCGGTTCTGCCAATCCCGCTCTCCGCCTCCCCGCCCGCCTCCGCCTCCCCGTCCGCCTCCGCCGCCGCGCCCGCGCTCGCGCTCGCGCTCCTCCTGCGGGGGGAGCGCTTGACGCGCGCGCCAGTCGCGGTTGTCCGGGGCCTCGGGGGCGCGCGCCTGGATAGATGGAAGAGGAACGGGAAGAGCGTGCAGGAAGGGGGGCCCGGGAAAACGGGGAAAAGGGAAAAGGGAGAGGAAAGTTCGGGGATGGGAAGGAGTGGGAACGGGGGAGAGCGTGACATGTATCTCGGTTGCCCTCCCCCGTTCCGCCCCCACAGGTTGAAGGGGGAACGGAAAGAGCGGGAATGCAGGAAAAAAAGGGGGGAACGGGAAAGAGGGATGCGGTGGCAGGGGGAGAATGGGTGAAAAAGGGGTAAGGGAGCGTGAAGGGAGTGAGATAAATAAGGGGGGAAACGCTTTTCTAGCAGCGGCGGAGAGGGAAACATGGGGTTTGACTATTGAGTACACTTTCAAGTTGACCAGCAAGTTGACTTTTGAGTAGACTTTCAAGTTGACCAAAAAGTTGACTTTTGAGTAGACTTTCAAGTTGACCATCAAGTTGACTTTTGAGTAGACTTTCAAGTTGACCATCAAGTTGACTTTTGAGTAGACTTTCAAGTTGACCATCAAGTTTGACTTTTGAGTAGACTTTCAAGTTGACCATCAAGTTGAACTTTGAGTAGACTTTCAAGTCAATTCGAAACTCATCTGCGCATTGCGCGCTCACCTGCTGGCCTGCCGGCTGCGAAGGCGGCGGCGCGCTCCTGCGAGACGACCAGTCGGGCTCCGCCGCGGCGGAAGAGGAGCGCCCCCCCGCGGACGACGCAATGATGTCGCCCCCCGTGTTCAGAATCTCGGGGGGAATGTCCGCGCACTTCTGTAATAACGGCAGGGAGTATGGGGGGAGGGGGGTTGGGTTGAGGTAAATATCAGTCAGAAGCAGATATTAGTAAAAGGTAGACTATCATGAAAGGAAAATACCCGTGAGAACTAGGTTCCACAACAGGCTATAGCATGATTGCTTGACTTAACGGCACAAATGCCAACCGTTCTACCAGGCTTGATTTCCAGTAGTTGTAACGATTCTTGGACTCAAGGGTCGTTACAATGAGTACCAAAGTTGGGAGTCGTTACAACTAGCACTGCCCATCTCACATCAAGGTACGCAATCTCACCTCAAGGTACCCAATCTCACGGCACAGTACCACATCTCACCTGACAGCACACCATCTCACCTCAGTAACCTATCTCACCTCGCGGTACCCCATCTCACCTCGCGGTACCACATCTCATCTGACGGCACGCCATCTCACCTCAGTAAACCATCTCACCTAACGGTACGCCATCTCACCTCAGTAACCCATTTCACCTCACGCTACGCGATCTCACCTCACGGGTACGCCATCGCACTTCATGGTATCCCATCGCACCTCACGGTACCTCATCTCACCTCACCGTACCCCATCTCACCACACCGGTACCCCATCTCACCTAACGGTACGCCATCACACCTCATAGTACCACACCGCACCTCACGGTAACCCATCACACCGCACGGAACCCCATCTCACCGCACAGTACCCCATCTCACCTCACGGCACGCCATCATACCTCATAGTACCCCACCTCACCTCACGGTAACCCATCACACCGCACGGTACCCCATCTCACCGCACAGTACCCCATCTCACCTCACGGTACGCCATCATACCTCATAGTACCCCACCTCGCCTCACGGTAACCCATCACACCGCACGGTACCCCATCTCACCGCACAGTACCCCATCTCACCTCACGGTACGCCAGCAGCTCGTCCCTCGAATACTTGACTCGCGGACCCTTCGGACCGTCATCCTGTGCGCAACACGGGAGGAAACGGGTAGGAAGGAAGGGGGGCGGAAGCATAAGAGGCCAGAAGTAGAGAGAAGGAGAGGCAGCACTCGATATGGGTGCGCATCTCCTTGGTGAATGTGCAACGCTTTCCTAAAGCGCAGCAGATGGTGAGCTGAGACCGAGACGACGTTTGAGGTGCATCAAACAGCGGAAAGCTGAGACAGAGAGCACTCGAGGGGTGCGCCTGTCCTTGGCGAGTCGGCAACAATATTCTAACCAGCAGATGATGGTGAGGTGTCGCTGGGTCCGAGTCTGAGACGCATGAAAAGATGCGCCTGTCAGCATCTATGCCCCGGCCGCACGTAGATACCTAAATAAGAATGAACCTGCGGGTTCAACCCCGGCCGCACGTAGAACCCCGCCGCTTGCCTCCTCGGCGAGCGAACAACCTACTAGTTGAATCCAGCGATAACGAGCCTGCGCGCTCGAGCCATCTGCTTCCGGCCGCACGTAGAACCCCGACGGGTTGCCCCATCGGCGAGAGAACAACTAGATGGCTTGCTCCGGCCGGACGTAGAACGGTGCATTTTGAGGCGCCTCAAAATGCACCTCACTAAAACCCGACGGCTTGCCCCATCGGCGAGCGAGCAATCTAGATGGCTTGCTCCGGCCGGACTTAGAACGGTGCATTTTGAGGCGCCTCAAAATGCACCTCACTAAAACCCGACGGCTTTGCCCATCAGCGAGCGAGCAATCTAGATGGCTTGCTCCGGCCGGACGTAGAGCCCCGACGGCTTGCCTACTCGCAAAAGACAGACGGCTGGGTGAATCTGTCAGGTAAAGACTAGCCTGCGCGCTCGAGCCATCTGCTCCTGGACGCACGTAGAGCCTCGACGGGTGCCTCCTCCCGGGCATAGCGAACAGCCCAGACGGCTAGCCTACTCGCAGAAGACAAGCGGGTAGGTGAATCTGTCCAGTTAAGACTAACATGCGCGCTCGAGCCATCTGCACCCGGACGCACGTAGAGCCCCGATGGCTTGCCTCCTCCCGGGCGCAGCGACAGCCCTCCGCCCAGCCCGCCGCCCCCCGGCCTCAAGCTCACGGCGGCCGGCGCTGCTGTGCGACGCCCCGCGACACATGCGACGCATGCACCAATGGGGTTGATGGGACGTAAAGAGGATAGGTTGGGGACGGGAGAAGGTGGGAGAGGAGGGAGGGGGAAAGAGAAAGGGGGGGAGAGGGATGGAGGAGAAAAGAGAGGGGGAGAGAGGAGAAAGGGGAGGATCCAAGATTAGGAGGGGAGGGGGGAAGGAAAGAGGGCGGAATGTGCACGGGGTAAGGGGGTGGACGGCTTGCCTCGTCGAGGGCTCATAAACAGGGCATTGATATAGTGGTACGAATAACAGATACAAAATAACAGAAGTGGCTTTTTTCTGGAGAAATAGTCGGTTCAACCATATCCATCCTGATTCTGGCTTGAACCTTCAAGATAGCGGGGTAAACGACAATGAAGGTACAAGGACTCACGGAGTTCAGTTTTTCGGAATTCACCTTAGGCTTATGCATTTTGACCTGTCACTGGCGACCCGAAATAATGGGTTATCTATCTTGCTTTTTACTGAGGGGAAAAACCAGATCAAGACGAATCGACTCCAACGCCTCATCCAAAAAAAAAATCAACATACCTAATTCACTGCGGGTTTCAGCGAATGCGAGTTGAACGGAGAAGGTTTCGCGAATGTGCCACGAAGAAAAATACGTCGTAACCCATGACAGACTGCGCCAAAAGCCACCTCGCGAACTAACCAGGTACTTACATTCCACAAAGGCAGGAAAATTACTAAAAAAAAAAAAAAACGTAAACGCGCCTATCATTTGGGTCTCCTGTACCGGCTAAGGAGGACCCTGCAGCTACGGTCAACGTACAAGATGCGACGTGAAGAGGCGGCTGCATAATCAGTATTGCATTCTAACATCCTCAGTAAATTCGATGTAGAAAACGAAATGTGGAATGAAGAGGTGGGTGCACCTTTGGTCTCAGACGCTGCAGGCTGAGAGCTATCCGAACCGGGCTTCACGTCAGCGGCGGCAGCGGAAGCTTGGTCGTTGTCAACACCAGCCATATCAAGCACGATCACAGTTTTAAATTCGGAGAATACGATGCCAAATATCCTGCAGTCTGTGTCGACTACGGTTCAAGCTATCAGAAGCAACCTGTAGCTGTGTCGTACGACGACTAACGACGGATGACGACGGCTAACGACGGATAACGATGACTAACGACGGATAACGACGGCTTAGAGCCTCCCCTAGGCTTTACGATGAACGGTGCGGGTGCACCTCTGGACTGAATGCTACCCTCTCTGCCTAGAGAGACTGGGCTTGACAGGGTCCCAGGAGAGAACTGGATGGATAAGCTCGTCCTGCTCCACGTGCCTTAGTTCCAAAAGACAGAAGCAGCAGCAGCAGGAGCCATAGCAGAAGCAGGAGCAGGAACAGCTCCTCTATCTAATGGTTGCAATTTGGTTTCGGATTGTTTTAAAACGGTATTGCCTGGTACATTGTTCCAAAACTTGGATAACCCACCAGTGAAGAGATTTGTTCTGCCAGAATGAGCCGTACCCAGCCTATCCCAGAGCCATTTTGAGATCGCATGGGTGTTGCCACCAGAGAAAGAAAATGTCTGCCCCGAGAAGTTTCTGGCTGGATGAGGGACTTGATCGCAAGCACCTTTTGGGCGTTGTTTTGGGCCTGGATTAGAGGGTACGATTTGGATCATGAATTTAAAACAGCGTAATTACAGTATAGCATGGGACATATGATAAACGACTTCATATACAGTGAATGTCATGTCTATAATACGATATAAAAGTTTAATGTTCCCTGCTGGTACAGTTATATGAATACGATCTGATTTATTTTAATATTTTCAGATTTTTCCTTCAATTATAATATTTTACAGTCTCGTGTGTAACATAGAATGGGATTAAAATATGGCAATCAAATCATGAAAACAATCACCAATCATAAAAATTTTTCACGAAAAAATGATTGGTATGCTAAGGTTGTGGGATGGAAACAAGATCCAAATATTTATCAGTAACCTTAATGCATCATCAAGTTTTAAGCGTTTATAGGGATTGAAGCATCTGAGGTTCAATTCCCAGGAGAATATATTGCAGTATGAAACGGGTGCATGTATAAGAGAAGCACGGGCGAATCACGACGGAAACGAATGTTCACAACAGGTTTCCTCGGTGAACTGTAGCTGAAGTGCCAGAAGATGGCCAGCTGTCTGTTACCTACAGTACCGCATGCCATGGATACTACAGTATCTAATTTGTTCACCGCAACGTGATGATGAGCCGACCAATGTGTCAGCTCAGCTCTGCCACGGCAGGTGAAGGGTGGCTTCCACGTGAACTGTAGTGCCTGTACAGTATTTTGGTGGATAAACCCTCATGACAAGTGTTCTATTTATCTTGTACACCCTGTTTCTCGCTACACTGAACTGTGCCGAACAGGTGCAAAACCTTGTTATCTTCGATTTGCCTAATTGAACCATACTAAAACAAAAAATGAACCACCGTGAACCATGCTTTTCCCATCTTGACTTCATTATAACCGAATTCACAAATGGTGAGAAAGAGGGTGTATTTCGATTTGCTCCTAACCTCATCAGATTTCACAACCTCAAGTTCCAAGTGCAAAAACTGGCAGGACATGAAGGACGTGAACATGAAGGGATGAAGGAAAGGGATGCTAGCTGCTTCCCCAGTGCAAAGCTACTAGCACCTCAACTGCGAACATTCATTGCAATACCACAAGCTTGCGCTCCCATCCCGTACAGTCGGTGCCCATTTTTAGAAAATCAGGTAGGCGGGCGGTATGTGCGTAAAATGTATTCAAACAATTTCGCCATGTTCGCCCTTGTCGCCACGGGAAAAAATGTGGCAGTAATATGAAACTGCAACGTGAATCGAGTTGATTTCGTAACCAGGCTAACTTCTCTCATGACGGGCAACTGTTGTTGTTGATGTACTGTAGATGTTTTTCTTCCTCAGCTTGGTGACTGTACCCTGAAATCGGCACAATAGTCAATTTTGTCACTCACGGACAAAACGTTCACGAGTGACTAAATTTATATTTTAACGGAGAAAATGCTCTGTAATAGGCTGAGCATCGACTGTACATAATTCAGTACACGATTCATCTACTTCTTTTGAGGGAACAGTGAAACTTTGCTCGAAGGGAACACTTTGGTAGCAATGAACACGTCTGATTGGCTGCCACCCTCCAAGATTTCTCGCAGCTTGTGTAGTGACCAATGATCGGGTGTGTTTACACGTCACTGAGGGAAAATTTTGGTTGATGGTGTCCAAGCTTCGCCCAGAACCGTGACCTGAGTAGCACAAGTGAAACTTCGCTCGAAGGGTTCTCCATCATTGGACGGCTCAAGCTCTCCAGTCCGGACGACACAGTTTGGTCTTGCAAGTTTGATTGTTTCTCGAAGCACCTAGCCTCGGCTGAGTGGACGGAATGACCACATGCACAAAGATTTTTAACCAATGGCGCTTTCTCCAAGTGCTAGGTCTATTTAATGCTCCTCAGACGGTTGAGGGTGGGCTAGTCACTGTTACGTGCTACATTTTGTTTGACCCGTTGTGAAAAGTATCCATTTGACATCCCCAAGCTGAAACTGGGCGGATATCACAACTACCCTTAAAGATAGGCATATGTTAAATAGCTATTAGGGCATTTACGAGTTATTGTTTTAGGTGTTGCACATCAGAACTAGAAGCAAGTGCACAACAGTCGTATCTCTGACATGGAGAGTTATGGACTTGCATTCCTACGACTGATCCGCGACACTGCGTGTACAGTATTTAGCGGACTACAACAGAAACCATGGCATTCCGCTAGCATGTACAGTAGTATTTCAGTTCATTTCAAACAGTTATTTTCCTGGCATCGAACGCCTGACTCTGTGTGTTGACCTACCTTGTGCCCCAGAATAGATGTCACCCCCTTCCCGTTCCCGACGATATGGGACGGGACGTGACCTTTGTAAATTTGCCTTGTTGAACGCTGACATCAACGTCACTGCTAGATGACGAAAGCATCACATGAGGCTTGCTCGAGGACATGGCATTTATCATAACGCTCGTTTGAAATCGCTTGCCATTGATTCGTCAGCATTAAATTGTATGAAGTTTGTCCAGCTTGCATGCTGTCGATGAGCCTTCCTCCGAAGATACGACCAGCTGGAGGCTCGAAAGATCTCCACAAGGCATCCAAGATGAAGATTTGGCTTGGACTATTGCAATTGGTTCGTAGCAACAGTCCCCACGGTCAGCCGCCAGTGACACCACCCCCTGCCTCAGTCAACACGGAAAAGACTGACTTGCTGCCGCATTTCCCGTGACTCCCCTCTTCCACATTTGCCCCCACGAGATCCACCGCCATTCAGCCAAATCCCATCCATCCAACCTTCCATCAATTCCTCCCCCCATGCTTCCATCCCCGAAAAGCCACTTTATAACGTGGTTGTTTCTACGGGTAGATTCATTAACTCAAGTCTCTTGCGTCCTACCTTTCCAAACAAACCAGCTACGTGCCTTCCATCACTTGGCTCCCCTTTTTAGCACATTCCTCTCGAGATAAATACAGCTGTGATTCTAAAGCACGTCATCAACTTGCCCTTTCCGCACTTTTTCTCCACTCAACTGAAGCTGCATTCTGGAGCTTCCGAAATTCTGACTTCTCCAAGCACAACTCGCACGATATGACGTCTCCCTTATGTTTTCAGTCCGACGGAGCCAGCGGAGCATTTCCGGCAGGCTTTGCCGGCTCTAACTGGTTCGCCCAGCATCTCCTCGAGGCTTGCGGCGGCAACGGCGGCGGCGGTTCCGGCGTGAACGGCGGCGTTTTCGGCAGCGCACCGAGCACATTTCTTGCGGGGTCGGGAGATACTCAACTCCCTTCAGCGCTTCCTGCTACAATGCCTCCAGACGCGGACACTAACCTCGCCGCCTCGTCTTCCGCCGTGCCGTCCGCGCCTATGACGCACGAGGACGAGATATTTCTGGCTCAGCTACAGGCGATGCTACATGAGCCATGCGGTGGCAATGCAGCCGGCATCAGCCTCGTCGGGACGCTTGGCGGCGAGCAACACCCTTCTTCCCCCGCCCCCGCGCCGACCGCTCCCGCAGGCGCTACATTTGGCGCGCAAGCGGCGAACCAGCCTTCCCCTCTCAGTCACTTCCGCTCGGCTCAGGCAGCGGCGGATAACTCGAGGCGACGGGAACATTCCGACGGCCTCCCTCTACCTCTGCCGCTGCGCGCGGCGAAGAGTGTGAAGACGTCTCCGCAATCTTGGCCCGGATCGCCTGTGCGCGCTCCGCTAAACGTGCCACGTTCGGCATTGGACAGCTCGCCCCTCAGAAGAGCCCTAACGGTGGAAAGGACGAATTTCTCCGACCCGCGTCTCGGGGAGGCTAAGTTCGGAGGTAATCTGTCGCGCCTCGCTTCCATGCCATTGGACCGCGCGAACGCGGCGGCTTCTACGGATGCACCCGCGGCGGCGACCTCGCCCAAGCGGAGCGCGTCTGGCGACGGCATGGGCTGCCTTTCTGATGAGCCACAACGCTCGAGCGGATCTGGTTCCGCTTCCGCGTCTCCCGCCCCTTCTGCTGGGGTTTCTGCTAAAAATGCTGCCACTCCGGGTGTTTCCGGGGCAGACGGTTCCGCGGGAAGGGGCCCTTCACAGCTCTCGCGACAGCAGTCTGGGAAAGGTGGCGGAAGATTCGGACAGCAGATCAAGCCGAAAAGCTTGACGGAGAAGCACCGGAGGGAGAAGATCAGCGAGGGAATGAATCGGCTGCGTATGGTGGTTGATGCGCATGGTGACGTGGCATCGATGCTCAACTATGCGGTGGATTATATTCAAAACATGCAGGCTGCTAATAAGAGCCTGAGGTTGGAGCTTTTGAGGCGCCAGCTGTCGTGCGGTTGTAACGCGTCAAGCGATATTGCTGCAGGGTCGCTTATTCAGCACCTGAATGCCCTTTAAGAATAGGTACATTTACTTTTAAGATTTGCTGTTTTTGTATTTGTGCAGTATTCTCTTCCAAGGGCCTGTTCTTCCAGATGTAAGGGAAATATAATTGATTCATCAATACCAGACACAATGATCACAATTCCCTAACATCTCAGCAGAGCACAAAATGGTACAGATAAAGAGCACAAAACCTTTCCTAGTGATGGAAATATACGGGAAGGTGGCAAGGTGTTACGGGTGCAATGAATCGAGGTAGCGAGAATTGCACTAAGGTGTCAAACGAGTACAAAATGTGAGCGAAGGCATGAGCGAGCATTTATACGCGAAACATGCAAAACGGTAACGCGGTGCGTGCGAACTTGCTAGTGCTACGCTGGAGCGAGGCTCGGGCTAGTCCCGAAGCGTAGGCCGATACGGCCATGCCAGCAGTGCGAGGTTTGGCAAAACAGTGCGCGCGAAGTCGGCGAAGTTCCGTTAGCAGTAACGGGCGAACAGTCGGCTGTTGCTGTACGCGATGTAGTCGGCTCCGTAAGGAATGCCTGAGAAAATTCCTTACACTACCCCCCCCCCCCTTAAGAAGCCCCCTCCGCTACGCGAGTGCGTGTATATCGCGGAATCCCCGGCTTCTCAAGTACACTTGCAGGGCAGGGTGATTTTCGATGTTGCTCAGGGGCACCCAGCTATCTTCAGTTGGCGTGCGGTCTTTCCAGCGAACGAGGAATTCAATCCTCCTGATTCCCGTGGGGTGGCGGATCCGATGGCTCAAAAATTTTTCGGGCTCGATGATCGGCTCTGATGCAGGGCGAGTCATTGATTGTGGCCGGTGACGCGGCAGTTGACTCGTGGTCGGGATGTATGGGCGAAGTAGGCTGACGTGGAACGAAGGGCTGATGTACCAGTCAATTGGCAACAGTAGGTGCGCGGTGACGGGTGTGATCATGTGACTGATTTGGAATGGTCCACAGTAGCGCGGTCGTAATTTTGGTACGTCGGGCAGTCGCAGATTTTGCGTGTCGAGTAGCACGTAATCTCCAGATTGATACGTGACGGGGCGGCGGTGGCGGTCAGCGTTGCGCTTAGCGATGACGTTGGCCTTTTTTATTGCTTCGGCGGCTCTGGCGCGGGCAGCTTGCAGGATTTCGGCGAATTGTTGTGCGCGTGGCGTTGGGTTGTCCAGACTCGGCGTCATGGGCACTGTGGGGTTCTGCCCATAGTTCAGGTAGAACGGGGACTGCTGCGTCGTGGCTGATGTGGCGTTGTTGTACGCGAACTCGATCAGCGGCAGCTGCTGCTCCCAGGTCGTGGGGTCGTCGCACGTGGCACGAATCAACTGCTCCATCGTCTGATTCGTCCGCTCCGTTTGGCCGTCGGTCTCGGGGTGGTACGACGAACTGAACTGTAGCCTGGTCCCGAACTGCTCCCAGAGGTTCTTCCAGAAGTTGCTGGTAAACTTCGTGTCCCTGTCGCTGATAATTGCTGCTGGTATCCCGTGCAGGCGAACAACGGCTGCGATGAACAGGCGAGCGGTCTCTTCGGCTGAGATCGACTTTTTGCACGCAGCGAAGTGTGCCATCTTCGTCAACCTATCCACGACGACCATCACCGCGTCGTTACCCCCAGGGTTCGATGGTAACCCTGTGACGAAGTCCATGGTTACTTGCTGCCAGGCGCGTTCGGGCGGTGGGATCGGCTGCAATTGACCCGCCTTCCGCTTCCTTGAACTCTTCATCACCTGACACGTCGGGCACGAGCCCACGTGCTGCTGTACGTCGGTCAACAGCTCCGGCCAGTAATAGTACCGCTGCAGTTGCTGTCGTGTTTTTTCTACCCCGAAATGTCCCGAGGTAATCCCGTCGTGTGCCTCCTGCAGTAGCAGCTCCCTCAGTAGTGAGTACGCGGGTACCCAAATGCGGTTGGTGCCTGTTTTTACGTAATAAACTCCTTTGGCTTCTGCCAGTTGCTGTGAATTTCCGGTCGTGAAAAATGGGTCGGTGCGGTATCCGTGGGTGAATAGGCCAGTTAAAAGCGGGTTGGTCTGGGCGAGTAGGATGGCGTGGAGTTGGGCGGTGGGGCGGGTGAGAGCGTCGGCGATGTTGGATGCTCCTTTTTTGTACGTGACGGTGTAGTGAAAATTGGACTCGAGATAGTCCAACCAGCGAATCTGTCGTGGGTTGAGATTCGGTTGGGCGCGAAGGTACTGTAGCGAGCGGTGGTCTGTCCGTACTGTCACGTCGGCACCAGTCAGGTAACATCGCCAAACTTTGAACGCGTGCACGATCGCTAGCATCTCGCGGTCGTGTATCGGGTAGTTACGTTCGGGCGGGTGTAACTTGCGGGACTCGTACGCGATTGGCTGGAGGCCCTTCCCGAAATCCTGCAACAGTACTGCTCCCACAGCGATGTCACTTGCGTCGGTGACGAGCTCGAACGGACGGTGGGGATCTGCAATGTGAAGGACGGGCGGGGAGCACAAAATATTTTTGAGGGCCGAGAAGGCAGCTTGCTCTTTCTCCCCCCACGTGTACTCAACCCCCTTCCTCAGCAGGTCAGTCAACGGGGCAGTCAGCTTCGCCATGTCGGGGACGAACCGGCGCACGTAGTTGACGAACCCCAGGAAACTCTGCAACTCGGTCAAGTTGGTCGGCGCATGCCAAGCCTGAATCGTCGCAATTTTCTTCGGGTCTATTTCCACTCCTGCAGCTGAAATAACATGTCCCAAAAACTCCAGGCGGTCCTGTAAAAACTCACACTTAGATGCTTTGGTCAGTAGGCGGTTCTCACTCAGGATTTTAAAAACTGCTTCGATGTCTTGTAAGTGCTGTGCTCTGTCAGGGCTGTAAATCAGTATGTCGTCCAGATAAACGATGACGCACTTATCTAAAAGCGGGCGGAATGCTTCGTTCATGGTCATTTGGAAAGTGGCGGGGGCGTTGGTCAGTCCGAATGGCATGACGGTGTATTCGAAGGATCCGTAGCGTGTTCGGAATGCGGTTTTAGGGCAGTCGGGTGGGTTGACGCGGATTTGGTGGTATCCTCCTCGGAGGTCGATTTTCGAGAAAACCCGGGCTGTGCGCAGTTGGTCGATCAGTTCGTCGGCTCGTGGGATGGGGTAACGGGATTTGATGGTAACCCTGTTCAGTGCCCTGTAGTCGATGCACATGCGAAAACCCCCGTCCTTTTTCGGTGTGAACAGTATTGGTGCGGCGAAAGGCGACGAACTAGGGCGAATGAATTCCTTTTCTAGCAGGTAATCGAGCTGCTTCCTTAGTTCGTCTAATTCGGGTTGGGTCAGTCGGAACTGTCGCTGTACTGTTGGCTGTGCCCCCGGTTCCAGTTCTATCCTGTGATCGTGCGGTCGCTGAGGTGGCAGTCCCGTCGGCAGGTCATCCGGGAAAATGTCACTGTACTGTTGTAACAGTGCCGCCAGGTCACTCGGTACGTCGGTCAGCAGTTTCTGTAAATCGCCTCCCTTGTCTGCTGCCTCGGCTTCCCGAATGTCAACCGCGTACACGTCGGCTCCGGCCGCAACAGCGCGTTTCATCGTGATCGCGTTGACACGCACCGACGAAGACTCAGGCGAGCCCCAGCGAGGTAAGGCGATGCTGTTACCGTTCACTCGCACGGTGCAGTCACCCGTCGTCCAGTCAATTCGCGGGTTGTGTCGTCGCAGCCAATCACGCCCGAGTAAAATGTCGGTTCCGTCAAGGGTCGTTGCGAGCATTTCCTGACTAAACGTGAAGTTACCCCCGCATCGAATCCGAACTCGGTCTACGCGTTCCCGTATTGCCAGCGGCGTGCCGTCAACCAGTCGTGCGTCGATCTCAGGTAAGCATCGGTCCAGTGGCAGTCGCAGTTTTCGTGCTGTAGCAGTGTTAATGAGGCTGTGGCTGGCTCCCCCATCTACGAAGATTTTAACTAAGTCCGTCCCAATTTTCCCACTGAGCAGTATAGGGCTATCTACCGTGGTACCCTCCTTATTCGGCCGGGTGTGGTCGATTGCGTGAACCGGCACAATCACTCGGTGAGGGTCGGTTGGGTCGGGCGAGCGGCGTGACCTGTCAGTAGAGGGCCCGTCTGCTACTGACTTCCAGCGTTTCCCTGCTGCTTGGTCTGTGTCTGCTGCTCAGCTTCCCCCTTTCCCTTAGCGTTTTCCGGGCATTCGTTCTTGCGATGTCCCGGCCGATTGCACGCAAAGCAGCGCCCTTTGAACGGTGCGGCAGCGGCATTTGCGGCGACGGCGCGTATCGTGGCGCTCTCGTTCGTCCCACGAGGCCGATGTCCCCAGGTGTTGTTTCCGTAGGACCCCGGTCTCGGTCGGCGAAAGAAGTCGAGCTTCTCCGCCATAGCGAGAATTTCCTGAAACTCAGTGACGCCGCGAAGCTGGATTTCCTGAGCGATGTCCTGCTTCAGGCCGCCGATGTAGCGGTCGATGCGTTCGCTCCCATGCATGTAGCCCACCTGCTCGCATAGCGCCAGAAATCCGCTCGTGTAATCCTGGACGGAACCGAGTTGGCGCCAAGTGCGGAGCTTCTGTCGCGCCGAGATCGAGGCCGCGATTGGCTCAAATCGAGCGCGCAGACCTGCGCACCACGCGTCCCACGTGCGATACTGGGGCACCTCCACGAAATACGACGGCGCCCAGGGTCCGGTTTGTCCTTCCCGTGTCGGTAGTGTCGCGTAGTCGGTCGGCTTCGTGACGATGACGCGCCACCAGTCCATGGCGGGTCCTCGCAGCAACGACACGGCGTATCGAATCTTCGCCGAGTCCTCCGAGACGTAGTTGGCGTCGAAGAAAACATTCATTGTGAATAACCACGCCTGAACGGTAGGACCACCCCGTTGACTCGGGTCAAAGCATGGCGGGCGCTGCGGTTTCAGCGGCATCGGTGACGGCAGTCCCGAATCGTGGGTTGGTGCCGAAATCGTGACGCGAGGCTGACTTGGGGCCGCAGGCGTCGCTCTGGGGTGTGTCGTGCCGTGGTCGTCGTCTCCGTCGGGGCGGACGACGCCATCACTGGCCGCGCTCGCGGGTTGCCCCACACTCCCGTGTTGTGATGTTGAGGGTGCAGGTTGAATCGGAGTGCCAGGTGCTTGGGATTGTGCTCTCATGAGGTCATTTTGCAGTGATGAGCGTTCTGCCGTCAATGCCGCGATTTCCTCGGAGCTTTCGTGCAGTTGTCGCAGCAGATCGTTCAAACGCTCCTGCGTGAGGGTGGTGACGTCGATGTTTTCGGCCATGACGAAGGGCGTCGGCTCGTCTTAGTCTAGGCGCAGTCGTGGCTGCACGCGTTTACGAGAGAACGCGAGGACAGCGGCTCCTAGGGGCTAAGGTGCGTGAGTCCCTTCGAGTGAAAAATCAAAAGTTGATTTCCTGGTGTGCGGAGATGCGCGGTCCGAAAGAAAGGGGCTCTGATAACCAAGTGTTACGGGTGCAATGAATCGAGGTAGCGAGAATTGCACTAAGGTGTCAAACGAGTACAAAATGTGAGCGAAGGCATGAGCGAGCATTTATACGCGAAACATGCAAAACGGTAACGCGGTGCGTGCGAACTTGCTAGTGCTACGCTGGAGCGAGGCTCGGGCTAGTCCCGAAGCGTAGGCCGATACGGCCATGCCAGCAGTGCGAGGTTTGGCAAAACAGTGCGCGCGAAGTCGGCGAAGTTCCGTTAGCAGTAACGGGCGAACAGTCGGCTGTTGCTGTACGCGATGTAGTCGGCTCCGTAAGGAATGCCTGAGAAAATTCCTTACACAAGGTCATATCCAGACAAGCCGCTAGCTACGTATAGGTAAACGTTAGACAGGGTTGTCCGCCACCTGAGCTAGCTTCCAGTCACTGCTGTTTGTGGGTAATCAACTGTAACAAACCCACTCTTCCCTCACTCATTTTCTTCATTTGAGGCCTCATTATTGGAGGGGAATGTGATTGAAATGAAGTTTCCGAATCGGGACGCGTAGAGAGCCGGGTTGACTGCGCTGATGGACGTGCCGTCGTACCGCAGGCTCTTGCACACGTGCTCCGCCTTCTTGCGCGTGTTGTACTCCTAATAGTGGTGGGGGGGAAACAGAGGCTAGCAGCATTGGTAAAAAAGACAAGCGCTGATGGACGTGCCGTCATACCGCAGGCTCTTGCACACGTGCTCCGCCTTCTTTCACGTGTTGTACTCCTGAAAGTATTAGTATGAATGTGTGTGAGAGAAAGAGAGAAATAGAATGGATGAGTGCAAGGAACAAACGAGTGCGCTCGCTTCTTGTACTCGTGAAGGTGGTTATGTGTGTGAGAACAGGAGGGAGAGAAAAAAAAGATTGTATAGAGTGGAATGCAAGACAAGCAGACGTGCTCCGCCTTCTTGCTAGTGTTGAGTGAGTGAGAAAGCGAGAGCAATTGAGTGGGATGGAATGCAAGGCACAAACTCGTTCGCATCCACCTCAGGAAAGTGGTTGGTTGCGAGTGTTTCAATGCGAGAGAGATTTGGGAGTGAGAGAGAAAGAGAATGCAGTTGTACAGGATGGAAAGCAAGGCACCAAAAGATGCTCCTTCTCCACCTTATTGCGTATGTTGTACTCCTGAACGTGGTTGGGTGTGTGGGAGCAAGAGAAGAAATATTGCACCCTCCCAGCTGTCCTTGACCCTCAACCTTAACTTCAAAACCCGAAACCCCTCAAAATTAACCTTAAGGATATCAATGATCCCGAAGTGCAGCACCACTTGGTACGTCTCCCTCTTGGTACTGAAGGATATCAATGATCCGTCACAGCCTTGCCGGCAGCATGCCCTTCCCTAGCAACCCTCTCAACCCTAAGCCATAAACCACAAACCCGAACCCCTATACGTAGAAAACCCCTCAAATCTGACCTGAAGGATATCGATGATCCCGAAGTGCAGCACCACTTGGTACGTCTCCCTCTTAGCCGGGTCCATCACAGCCTTGCGTGTCCGCCTGTCCACCCTCACTGCAGTCGCCGGCATGCCCTGACCCAGCAGCACCCCACTCCCTCCCTCCCCCGTGCCCCCCACCGCTCCTCCCTCTCCCATGCTCCCTCCCCCTCCCGAGCTCTTTCGCTCTCTCTCTTTCCCTTTCTCCCCTTCCGCCTCCTGCTGCTGTGAAGCTATGGGCAGCAAGAAGCCATTTGCAACCTGCCCTGCTTCTCCACCCACCCCACCCGCTACCTCTCCGGTTCCCGATCTCGTCCCTTCAGCTGCCCCCAGCACGGCATTGTCTGGCCGGCCAGATTTGTCTGTTGTGGTGGAGGCACCAACTGACGCATCGGCCATAGAGGTGGAGGCTACCCTCTGCCATGGCCTCTGCATGTGATGCTTCATCTGTGGTTGAAGGCAGAGGGGGAGGAGGGGAGGAAAGCTTGTGGTTGGTAAGGCAAGCAAGGGCGGAGCCGCGGAGGTGGTGGAGGCAACCCTCTGCCATGGCCTCTGCATGTGATGCTTCATCTGTGGTTGAAAGGGGGTGAGGAGTGGATGTAAGGATTGGAAAGGAATTTCTAGATGGTTCAGAGGTGGAGGCTACCCTCTGCCATGGCCTCTGCATGTGGTGCGGAAGGGACGGAGTTAAAGGGTACCCTCTGCCATGGCCTCTGCATGTGGTGCGGAAGGGACGGAGTTAAAGGGTACCCTCTGCCATGGCCTCTGCATGTGGTGCGGAAGGGACGGAGTTAAAGGGTACCCTCTGCATGGCCTCTGCATGTGGTGCGGAAGGGACGGAGTTAAAGGGTACCCTCTGCCATGGCCTCTGCATGTGGTGCGGAAGGGACGGAGTTAAAGGGTACCCTCTGCCATGGCCTCTGCATGTGGTGCGGAAGGGACGGAGTTAAAGGGTACCCTCTGCATGGCCTCTGCATGTGGTGCGGAAGGGACGGAGTTAAAGGGTACCCTCTGCCATGGCCTCTGCATGTGGTGCGGAAGGGACGGAGTTAAAGGGTACCCTCTGCCATGGCCTCTGCATGTGGTGCGGAAGGGACGGAGTTAAAGGGTACCCTCTGCATGGCCTCTGCATGTGGTGCGGAAGGGACGGAGTTAAAGGGTACCCTCTGCATGGCCTCTGCATGTGGTGCGGAAGGGACGGAGTTAAAGGGTACCCTCTGCCATGGCCTCACACTCTCCCCCTACCGCCCCACACTCCCACCTCTCACATTTACGCTCCAGCCTCACACATTTACGCTCCAGCCTCACACATTTACGCTCCAGCCTCACACATTTACGCTCCAGCCTCACACGCTCTCACGCAAACGCGCGCTCCCACACTCGCAAACTTCCACTCTTGAGAATTCTCAAATGTGATTTCAATACAGCCCGCGCGCTCTCACACTCGCAAGCTTTCATTTCTGAGAATTCTCAAAAAGTGATTTCAATATATCCCGTGCGCTCCCACACTCGCAAACCTCCACTCCAACACTCCCACGCGCGCACTCACCTGGCGGAAGGAGTTGGGGAACGAAGTCGAGGTGGCACTCAGGGCGGCATCTCCAGCTGACGTGTCATCTACTGCTGAGGTGTCACCGCCTGATTGGTCCTCCCCAGGCCCGGCTTCTGTGGCTGCAGCAGCTGTAGAGCGAAAGGATGGATGGAAATGATGGGGAGAGAGGAAATCGGGAAATGACGGGGAGAGAAAGGAGAGGAAGATGGAAGGGGGAAGACACAAAAAGAGAGGGTTAGGGTGAAAAGGATAGTGGTAAGCGGGCGAGAGGGTAGGAGAGTGAGTGTGAGGGTAGGAGGAGGAGGAGGAGGAGGAGGAGGAGGAGGAGGAGGAGGAGGAGGAGGAGGAGGAGGAGGAGGAGGAGGAGGAGGAGGAGGAGGAGGAGGAGGCAAATGAGCAAACGGAACATAAAAAATAAATAAACTCATCACCCTCCCCTGCCAAATCAAGTGGAGTGTCTCTTATGCGTGCCTTTCATACGTGCCTTCCCCCTTGATTCATAAAATGTGAAAAAATCACAAGCACATTGGGACGGCACATTTGTGTGAAATGTGGAGTGCCTCTGCTGCACCAACGACATCTACATCACAACCGCAGCACCTGCTGAGATGGACGGCCGAGATTGGCCGTCCTGGGTCGCGCGGCCCTCGGCGATGGTGACAGGTGGCAGCGTGGTATTGGTGGGGCGGAAATGCACCCCCAGGAGTAGGCTGTAGTCCATTATGCGCTGGCGCTGCAGGAATGCTGTGTCTAGAGCGATTTGCCTGGGGGGCAGATACAGAGAGAGGGAGAAGAGGGAGAAGGCTTAGTCCCATGGATGTAATAGGCTTTCCTTGCACACTCCTTGCAGTTGTCTGTACCTCATTTTCTACATCAATGAAAGGACCGTTGGAGAAGAGGGAGAACAAAATGGACAATGATGCCGATGAGATGCCTCCAGTCACCCAAGCAGCAAGCAGCAAGCAGCAAGCAGCAAGCAGCAAGCAGCAAGCAGCAAGCAGCAAGCAGCAAGCAGCAAGCAGCAGACTCTATCTAGTCCATGATGCGCTGGCGCTGCAGGAATGCCGTGTCTAGAGCGATTTGCCTGGGGGGCGGATACAGAGAGACGTAGAACAGTGAGAACAAAATGGAGAAGGATGCCAGTGAGGTGTCTCCAGTCACCCCCTGCAAGCAGCAGGCTCTAGTCCATTATGCGATGCCGCTGCAGGAACGCCGTGTCCAGCGCGATTTGCCTGGCGGAATACGGTAAAGCAAGGGGGAACAGGGGGAACGGGAGATGGAAGATGATGAGGGGATTCAGGAGAACATGCACCCTCAGCAGCAGGCTGTAATCCATTATGCGCTGCCTCTGCAGGAATGCCGTGTCCAGTGCGATTTGCCTGGAGGGGGGTGAGTGAGGAAAGAGTGGAGGGGGGGAAAGATGGGAGGGAGTTCAGGGGACGCCGAAGTAAATGCACCCCCAGCAGCAGGCAGCAGGGTGTAATCCATTATGCGCTGCCTCTACAGGAATGCCGTGTCCAGGGCGATTTGCCTGGAAGTGAAACGTGAGGAAAGGGTGGAGGGAGGGAGAGGTGGGTGGGAGTAGAGAGAGTTGGGAAAGCTCTGGAGTGCATACTTGCACCCCCAGCAAGCAGCAGGCTCTAGTCCATTATGCGCTGGCGCACTCTTCTCACTGCCACCTTCTCCTTGCTGCGATTTCTGAGGCGCCTCACAAATCAAAAATCGTCTTTTGAGGCGCCTCACAAATCGAAAATCGCCTTTTGAGGCGCCTCACAAATCGAAAATCGCCTTTTGAGGCACCTCACATATCGAAAATCGCCTTTTGAGGCGCCTCACAAATCGAAAATCGCCTTTTGAGGCGCCTCACAAATCGAAAATCACCTTTTGAGGCGCCTCACAAATCGAAAATCGCCTTTTGAGGCGCCCAAAAAATTCCTGGCACACTCTTCTCACATCCACCTTCTCCGTGCTGCGCCCCTGCGACGACCACACTGTGAGCAGCCGCACTCTCACACTCACCTGTGCATGAGCGCTCGCCAGGAGGCTGGCATATGGAAGGAGAGGTCCAAATCGAGGTCCTTCAGTGTAGTGGTCTCATCCACTGCCACCTTCTCCGTGCTGCGCCCCTGAGACGACCCCTTGTGGCCGTGAGGCAATCTGCATGGGCCCACACTTACACTCTCACACTCTTACACTCTCACACTCTTACACTCTCACACTCTTACACTCTTACACTCACCTGCAGTGCTGCTTTACGCACCTGTGCATTAAGGCTCGCCAGGAAGCGGGCATGTGGAAGGAGAGGTCTAGATCCAGGTCCTTGAGTGTGGTGGTCTCGTCAACAGCAACTTTCTCTGTGCTCCTCCCCTGCGACGACCCTTTCAGATCGAACCGCCGGTGCATGCGCAGGTCGGTGACAAACACATTGGCCATCACCACAAAGCGGATCAGCGTGGAGGGGGACGAGAGCACCGTGTGCAGCCGCCGCCGCCGCCGGTACCTCTGCGGCTGCTGCTGGTGCTGGTGGTGAGGGAACTGCTGCTGGTGTTGGTGCAGCTGCTGCTGTTGATTTGAAGGGACGGTGGCGCTTGCAGTGCTGCTGCTGGTGGCCGTGGTGGTGGGGGGATTGATGGTGCTGGTGGTGCTGGTGCTGGTGGTGCTGGTGCCAGTGGTGTTGGTGCCAGTGGTGTTGGTGCCAGTGGTGCTGGTGCCAGTGGTGTTTTGGGTGGCGGCGGCACTGAGGAAGGGCGAGGAGGGGAAGAGGCTGCGAGAGCATCTCACAGTCACCTCGGGAGACATGGGAATTTCACCCAGGGGCGAGTCCGCAGCACCAGCAGCAACAGCAGCAGGAGCAGCAGAAGAGGTGGTGGTGGCTGTTGCTGTGCTAGTGGTGGTTGTGGTGGTGGTAGTGGTGGTGGTTGTAGAAGCAATGGAGGAGGAGGGGGATAGTTTAGTGCTGGTGCAAGAGGAGCGGGAGAGGTTGGAGGGCTGCTTTATGTTGTAAACGCGGATGGAGTGTAGCCCGAAGAACTTGGTGATCAGCGTGTGCTCGCAGTCGCGCACGTGCCGGAAATAGTCCGGTAACATCCGCTGCAACACCTGCTCCAAGAAGAAAAGAGTGAAAGGCACAAAGGCAGGGAGGAAAGAGGTCAGGGGTGAGTGCGTGTGTGCTCGCAGTCCCACACGCGCAGGAAAAAGTCAGGTAACATCCGCTGTAACACCTGCTCCAGTCCAGAGGAAGGAGAAGGAGAAGGAGAAAAAATACGAACGCAAGGAAGACAAGGAATGGATTGGAATGGGCGCGTGCTTGAGTGTGTGCTCGCAGCCACGCATGTGCCGGAATAGTCCGGTAACATCCGCTGTAACACCTGCTCCAGAAAAAAGAATGGAACGTGAGTATAGGGAAGAAAAGGCGTGGTGATTCGTGTGTGTGTGTGTGTGTGTGTGTGTGTGCGCGCGCGCGTGTGCGTGAGCGCACGTGTGTGTGTGGGTTTGTTGGTGCCGGGATTGTCTGTTTCCTCTCCCTCTCACCCTCTCCCTCCTCTCACCCTCTCCCTCCTCTCATCCTCTCCCTCCTCTCATCGTCTCATCCGCTCCCACTTGTCCCCTTTTTGCAACGCCCATTTCCCCACTCTCCCCGCTCTCCCCTTCTCTCTCCTCCTCCTTTTCCTCTCTTCGCCCTTATACTCCCCTTGTCCAACTCACCTGCACTTCAGAGGCGCGCATGGTTTTGATGATAAACCGATCATCATCTGACAGGTAGAACACACTCCCAGACTTGCCCGGCGAGGAGAGCTCCCTGAGAGCGTTGTCCCCACAGAGAGAGAGCGTGTAGTCCGCTGGATCGATGCCAAACATGGCGCGCAGCTCGCTGAAGGAGATGCAGGGGAGTGATAAGGGGTGGAGGGGGGTTGGGAGAGTTTATGCAGAGATAGGGAGAGAGACAGCGTGTAGTCAGCTGGGTCGATGCCAAACATGGCGCGCAGCTAGCTGGAGAGGCGGTGTAGGAAGGAACACATAGATGAAAGGAGAGGAGGGGAGGCACAGAGAATGCTGCGAGTCAGCTTGCCCGGGGACGGGAGCTCTCTCAGAGCGTTATCTCCACACAGAGACAGCGCGTAGTCAGCTGGATCGATGCCACACATGGCGCGCAGCTCGCTGGAGAGGCGGTGTAGGAAGGAACACACAGATGAAAGGAGAGGAGGGGAGGCACAGAGAATGCTGCGAGTCAGCTTGCCCGGGGACGAGAGCTCTCTCAGAGCGTTATTTCCACACAGAGACAGCGCGTAGTCAGCTGGATCGATGCCACACATGGCGCGCAGCTAGCTGGAGAGGCGGTGTAGGAAGGAACACATAGATGAAAGGAGAGGAGGGGAGGCACAGAGAATGCTGCGAGTCAGCTTGCCCGGGGACGGGAGCTCTCTCAGAGCGTTATCTCCACACAGAGACAGCGTGTAGTCAGCTGGATCGATGCCACACATGGCGCGCAGCTCGCTGGAGAGGGGGAGGATGGGAAGGAGAGGAGGTGGGGCGGGCGGGTGAAACAGGGTTGACATGACACAGTGCACATAGGGAGGGAGCCTTTGGAGTAACCCACCTGAAGGAGGACCGTAGTCGTAGCGAGCTACAAGGCTCGTGAATGGGCTCTACGTGACATGAGGCTCACCTGAGGGCTTTAGGAGCATAGTCGCGCCAGGTGAAGGGGAGTGTGTTGTGGGGCGGCGTGCACAAGGAGCCCTAAGACTCTGAGGGAAACCACATCCTGTCTGCCGCCTCAAAGTGGTGAGCTGACTCGCAGGAGACACTGGTGTGCTTGCTTGCACCCACACCACATGGGGAACCAGAGTATAAGAGCCTCACCTGAAGGTCCATGTAAGCTTGATCGTAGGTCGGAGCCTCACCTGAAGGCCCATGTTATTAGTAAACAGGCCTCACCTGAAGGCCCTGGGAGCGTAGTCGCGCCAGGTGAAGGGGAGCGTGTTGTGGGGCGGCGTGCACGAGGAGCCTTCCGGAGGAAACCACATTCTGTCTGCCGCCACAAAGTCCTCTGCACGCAGATCAGCTGAGACAGGTGCAAATGGGGCAGGTACGGCTGGTGCAGAGGGCGCAGCTGGGGAAGGTGCAGCTGTGGGAAGTGTGGTGGGGGTGGAGGCTGCTGGGATGGGCGCTGATGGGGGAGGTAGTTTTGAGGGAGGGGCAGCTGCAGAAGGGGCAACTGGGGGAGGTGTTGCCCGCCCTGTAGAGTGCCTGGAGGGTGGGATGGGGAGGTGGGATGGGGAGGGGGAAGGTGGGAAGTGTGAGGTGAAAGAGGTGCTTCTGAGGGAGGGGCAACGGGGGGAGGTGTTTGCCCGCCCTGTGGAGTGCCTGGTGGGTGGGATGGGGAGGGGTGGGTGGGGGAGGTGGGAGGTGGGGGAGGTGCTTCTGAGGAAGGGGCTGCTGGGGAAGGGGTAGGTGCGGGAGGGGCAACCGGGAGAGGTGAGTTGACTCAAAAGTCAACTTCTGAGGAAGGGGCCGCTGGGGAAGGGGTAGGTGCGGAAGGGGCAACTGGGAGAGGTGCTGCCCGCCCTGTGGAGTGTCTGGTGGGTGGGATGGGGAGTTGGGATGGGGAGTTGGGATGGGGATGTGGGACGGGGAGGTGGGGTGGGTGGGTGGGGAGGAGGGATGCGGAAGGGTTCATTAGAGGAATTTAGGGGTCGCTTCGAGCAATGTGGGAGGGGATGTGTCACATCACATCACATCACATGTACATTAAGGGGGATAATTAGCGCATTACAGGGGTGAGAACACAATGAGCAGTGAGGGATGACACACAACACAAGGAGCCCCACCTGAGACCCACCTGAGCCCCACCTGAGCCCCACCTGAGCCCCACCAGAGTCAGGACACACAAGGAGGCCCAAATCACCTGACACACAACACAAGGAGCCCCACCTGAGCCCCACCTGAGCCCCACCTGAGCCCCACCTGAGACCCACCTGAGCCCCACCTGAGCCCCACCTGAGCCCCACCTGAGACCCACCTGAGCCCCACCTGAGACCCACCTGAGCCCCACCTGAGCCCCACCAGAGTCAGGACACACAAGGAGGCCTAAACCACCTGAGCCCCAGCTGCATGGCCGTCATGAGGTCGTAGCTACGGTGGCCCTTGTAGATCAGCTCTCAGAGGCCTCACATTGTGTGGAGGATACCCGAGTGAAGGGAACATCACCCACAACGCAAGAGTGAAGGGAAGGCACACAACGCAAAGAGCCCACCTGAGCCCCAGCTGTATGGCCGTCATGAGGTCGTAGCTGCGGTGGCCCTTGCAGATCAGCTCTCCAGTTGCTCACAGTGAGGACAGCGAGCAGCAGAGGCCGTGAGGGCAGTTGAAAAGTGAGGGGGTGAGGACACACGGCACAAGGACGCCCCACCCACCCCCACCCACCTGAGCCCCAGCTGTATGGCCGTCATGAGGTCGTAGCTGCGGTGGCCCTTATATATCAGCTCGCCCGCCTTCCTGCCTGCCCTGCGTGTGGGTCCACGCCGCCTCTGCGTGGAACGGGAGGGGGGAGAGGAGGGGGGTTAGAGACGTCTCAAAGGTCGTAGCTGCGGTGGCCCTTGTATATCAGCTCACCCGCCTTCCTGCCTGCCCTGCGTGTGGGTCCACGCCGCCTCTGCGTGGAACGGGAGGGGGGAGAGGAGGGGGGTTAGAGACGTCTCAAAGGTCGTAGCTGCGGTGGCCCTTATATATCAGCTCGCCCGCCTTCCTCTCCGCCCTGCGCGTCGGCCCACGCCGCCTCTGCCAATGGTAGGAATCAATGGACAGGGTGGGGCGTGGGAAGGGGGCAGGGGTTGGGGAGGAATGGGAAGAAAGGGAGTGCTTTCATGCGGCTCTTTCAGTGGTTGTGCTTGTGCCTCGTGTCTTCATTCGGCTCTTTCAGTGGTTGTGCTTGTGCCTCGTGTCTTCATGCGGCTCTTTCAGTGGTTGTGCTTGTGCCTCGTGTCTTCATGTGGCTCTTTCAGTGGTTGTGCTTGTGCCTCGTGTCTTCATGCGGCTCTTTCAGTGGTTGTGCTTGTGCCTCGTGTCTTCATGCGGCTCTTTCAGTGGTTGTGCTTGTGCCTCGTGTCTTCATTCGGCTCTTTCAGTGGTTGTGCTTGTGCCTCGTGTCTTCATTCGGCTCTTTCAGTGGTTGTGCTTGTGCCTCGTGTCTTCATGCGGCTCTTTCAGTGGTTGTGCTTGTGCCTCGTGTCTTCATGCGGCTCTTTCAGTGGTTGTGCTTGTGCCACGTGTCTTCATTCGGCTCTTTCAGTGGTTGTGCTTGTGCCTCGTGTTTTCATGCGGCTCTTTCAGTGGTTGTGCTTGTGCCTCGTGTTTTCATGCGGCTCTTTCAGTGGTTGTGCTTGTGCCTCGTGTTTTCATGCGGCTCTTTCTGTGGTTGTGCTTGTGCCTCGTGTTTTCATGCGGCTCTTTCAGTGGTTGTGCTTGTGCCTGTTCTTGTGCTTATGCTCGTGCACGGTCAACCTGCTGCATTCCGTTCATAAGCCAACACTGATTGAAGCACTCACCACGAGGTCGTGCTGCAGTTTGTAAGCACTGTACTACCTTTTACAAGCACTTCATCCGCCTTATAAGCACTACTCACCACGAGGTCGTGCTGCAGCTTGGACCTTGGGATCTCCGCCACCAGAACCCCCTGCACATACTCCCGCACTGTCACCACCTTGCTGTACCGCCTATTCTGCCTCTGTTTGCGGCCTGATGAGAACATGGCACTTGAACGCAGCGAGTCTAGAGCAGAGTCAGCACCCGCTTCACTCTCTTGGGCTGCAGGGGGTGGGGAGCGAGTGGAGGGAGGGAACGGGATGGGATTACATGTGCTGGTAGTGCTGCCTCTGCTTGCGGCCTGACGAGAACATGGCACTTGAACGCAGCGAGTCCAGGGCTGAATCAGCACCCGCTTCACTCTCCTGGGCTGCAAAGGGTGGGGAGAACGGATGAGATGAAAGGAGAGGTTGCTTGTGATGGTAGTGGTGCTGGCAGTGCTGTGCTTGGGGGGTGCCCGTGCTACCTCTGCCTGTGGCCTGATGGGGGGTGCTTCGCTCTCTTGGGCTGGAAGATCAGAAAGAGAAGAGAAGGGTGGGGAGAAAAGATCGGGAAGGGAATCGGAGAGCCGTTGCTTGTGCTGGTAGCGCTGGTATGGTAGTGCCACCCGTGCTGGCTCTCTGTGTGTGCTGCAGGCCGAAGCGAGAGGCAAAGGCATAGTCAGCAGCAGCCGCTTTGCTCTTCCGTTGGGGCAGTGAGGTTAGAAGCACGAGGCTAACAGCAAGGGGAGCTTCACGAGCCGAGAGGCAAAGGCATAGTCAGCAGCAGCCGCTTTGCTCTTGCGTTGCGGCAGTGAGGTTAGAAGCACACTGCCACAAGCAAGGAGAGATTCACAAGCACCTGCCCTCACTTTCTTGTAAATAGGAGATGGGAGGTAGGGGAGGGGAGGGAAAAACCTGACTCACCATGAGACGAGCTTGTGTGCCTGTCTGCAGATTCCCCCCCAGCAGAGCTCCCACCTCCAAACCCTTCCAGCTTTTGAGACGTCTCAAAAGGGGGATAAGGGAGGTAGGGGAGAAAATGACTCACCATGAGACGAGCTTGTGTGCCTGTCTGCAGATTCCCCCCCAGCTGTGCTGCCGCCGCGATCCCCCCCTTCCGCACCCGCCCGCCCCTCGTCCCCCTCCTCCCCATTCGCCGAACCCACAGACGACCCACGCACCCATCTCGCTAACCCGCCACCGTTCTGAACCGCACTGTCAACCCGGCCGCTGTTCTCCCTAGCAGGAACAGGGCCCATGGTAAACACGCGAGTCAGCTTTGCCGCGGCTGCTTTTGAAGAGGGCTTGTTCTGACGACCACCAGCAGCAGTGGTGGTGGTGGTGGGGGTGGTGGTGGAGGATGGAGCACCACCAATGCCAGCACTGTCAACGCTGCTTCTACGGGTGGTGCCGCTGTTGCTGGCGCCGGCGCCGATGCTGACTAGGCTTCCCTCAGAGGCCGCGTGGGGGAGGTCGAGGGATGGGGTTGAGGGCTTTGCTGCTGCAGATGATTTGGTGGAGCGAAGAGACCAGCGGCGCCCCTTCTTTCCTTGCTCTCCCTGCTGCTGCTGTGGCGACGGCTGCTGCTGAGGGGTATCCCTGTCTTTCTCCTTCTCCTTGCTCCACATTCTCCATAGCTTGGGAGGAGCAGCAGTCGCCTCGTCCTCTCCCTGCTTCGCTGCCTTCTCTTTGCCTGCTACCTGTCCCTCCGTCTTCTGCTCTGCTTCTAAAACTGCCTCTACTGTTTCGCCCACAGCAGCACCAGCAGCAGCAGCAGCAGCAGTCCCACTGCTATCAGTCACAGCATCGCCACTCTCACTGCCTACAACCACATTCTCTACCGCCAACCCCCCTTCAGTCACACCCGCTACACTCACACCCGCAGACCCAGCCTCCCCTTCCGCCCCTCCCTTCCCCACCTCCTCCTCCCCACCCTCCCCCGCTCCCGTTCCCGCCACATCAGCAGCCTCCTCCGCAATCCTCCCCACCGTCTCCTCCCAACCGGACCCTACACTCCCCCCCCGCTCCTGACAGCTTTCCCACAGCCTACCCCCTACCATGCCCCTAGCGCCCCTAGACAGCGGCCCGGGTGCGGGAACAGACTCCGACTTACCTAATTTTAACTCACACTCAGCCCACTGCCGTTCCAGCGCCTCCTTTCTTTTCCAGTCCCGCAGCACCCCCGCCCGCCCTCCACCAATCACAGACACGCTCCGGCTGAAGTTTTTCGGCCCAGTGCCTGAAGGGGTAATACTGAGTACGCCCGCGCTGCTGCTGGGGCGAATTGCCTTGTTACCCCCTCTGGGAGTGTGGATAGCGCTACTGGTGCTGGGGCGCTTATCAGAATTACCTGCGGCTGTTGCTGCTGCTGTGGTAGTGTCAATACTAAGTCCTTCCCCTGCTGCCTTGTCACTCGGCCCGGCTGAATTTACAAGCCCTCCCCCTCCTTCTCCTACTCCTCCTACCCCTTCCCCTGATGCTCCTACGCCTGTCGCCCCTCCATTGCCTGTCGTCGCTGCTCCTCCGTCCACCTCTTGCTGCTGCTGCTGCGGATGCGACTGCGGCTGCGGGTGTGGCTGCGTCGTTTTCTTCTGATCCGCCGGCTTCCACCCAATCGACAGCCCACGTGCCATCGTCAGTCCGCGGCCCAGCGGGCGACCCCCTCTCTTTCCGCCTCCTGCGCCAACACCACCACCGCCAGCAGCAGCGGCGGAAACCCCTGAAGCCCCTAGGGCGCCCGCAGCACCCGCATCACCACTGCCAGCAGCAGCGGCCGCCTCTTTCTCCGAAGCAGTACCCTCCACCTCCCCCCCAACCCCCGTCCCGCTCCCTGCTTCCCCCTTCTCCTCACCCCCTCCCCCACCTCCCTCCTCCTCCACCCACTCCTCCTCTTCCTCTCCCTCCTCATACCCTCTCGGGAAGTACAGCCCTTTGCCGTCCTTCAATCCCCTGCTCCACGTGCCTTCGAAGCAGCTTCCGTCGGCCCACTTGAACGTCCCCGCGCCGTGTTCGAGCCCCGCCTCCCACTCCCCCTCGTAACTATCCCCATTCGCCCACGTCAGCGTTCCATACCCGCTCATCTTCCCGCCTTCCCACTCCCCGAAATACTCGTTCCCGTTGCTCCATTTGTACCGACCAGGACCGTCCGGCACCCCCCGGCTCCAGAACCCCTCATAAACATCTCCATTAGTGTAATGCTTCCTACCGAGTCCGTGCTTCACCCCAGCGGCCCAGTTCCCGGTATAGAATGCTCCGTCAGGAGCCCAATGGCTACCCACGCCCTGTAGAGCGCCGTCCTTCCATTCCCCTTCGTAACGCGTGCCGTCAGTTAGTTCGAACCACCCTTGGCCGTGCTTCCGTCCCCTGTCCCATTCCCCCTCGTACACGCTCCCATCCACCCAGGAGTATCTTCCAGTGCCGTGCGGTGCTCCTCCCGCCCATTCGCCCACGTATTTATCGCCGTTCGGAAAGCTTTTCCGGGTTACCGCTGCTCCTTCGCGAAGGTTCGCCGGGAGATCTGAATCGAAGGTTCGCGTGGGGGACGGCGCGGTCGCGACGGCGAGCGTGCGCGGGTTGTTAGGCGCATATGTGGTAACCACCGCGGGGATTTCTTCTTTCGAGAATGACTTTCGAGCTACGGCTGGTTCCGCGGGTAGCGGTGCTGCTGATAACGAGGATAATGATGCTTCTATTGAAGCGGAAGCCATTATTACGGATGTTGGCTAGCTCAAAGAATATTAGTTGTTGACCATGCAGTGGGAGAATGTTACGAGATGGAATAAGCGGCACTCATGCAAGTCATGAAGGCAAGTCACTCAGTGTAAAATCGTTCATAAATAAGAAGAATTAGCATCGACCGCTGACTGATTGGCCTTACTGATGATACTACAACTGCTTTGGAAAGTAAGACCTGGAATGCGTTCTAGAAGATGTCGGTCACGTAGGCTGTGTTTGTCTGCTCCTTCAAGATTGTCGTTCACGAATGGTCCTCCTGAAATGGCTGGCTCATTTGTGTAACATCGTCGTCGTCTGATCGCAACATGTGTACAGTTGATGATGCGAGCTTCGTCACACTGTTCGCTTGATTCGGGTGGTACTGTACACAGCGGCGGTGCGTCAAGCCAAGCACCCTGGAGAACCTTTTTCCACGAATCGCTAGTCAGCGCCACTTCACCACATACACCTGATGCCCGTTTGAGTCTCTCCTACTTGGGTTGGGCTCTGAGCTCGAAAACGTTTTAAGAAATTCGCCCAGTTCGTTCCATTTCGCCAGGGTGTTGAGGTGCTTCTAAAAAGCACAGGTTGTAACTCATTTGTTTTTTCCAAAACAAATCTGGTGGGCCTGTGTTGTTGCTAGTTCAAGGTTTCGGGTTTATGCTTGTTTCTGGCCAAGAAACAAGAACAAACCGGGTCAGCATGGTTTGTTTTGCGCCTAAGATTCATACTTAGGCGTTTTCTCGCCCAAATGCAAGTTGATCCACGTGCTTATAACCTGGGTGCAACTGTCTGGGAATAAAAACACGGGTGCAGAGTTTCTGAAATAGACAAGGCAAATTCGCGCACAGTGGTTGGGCATCATGTGTATGAACAAAAGCTTCTATCCATCAAGACCGATTTCGCTGTGTAAACCATCAATGTGCAATATGTGAGAAACTGATTTAGACAAGGTTCGATGTTTACGTCGGATGGGTTGCGTAGAGTTGTATCTTTGTATAAGAAACATAATGATGGAACATATTATATTTTACTTATGTAAAGAAAACTATAACGTTCGTTTTACTTGGTTAAAATGGGATAAGCTTGATAATTTTTTTAACAAAAGCAATAGCCCATATTTAGATTTTTTATCTTGAGATAATTTATGTATCAACAAGGAACGTTTTTGGAAACTCAATATTATTTTGTGTCTATAACAGACAATGATTTTATTATTTATCTTATTTTACTGCACATATAATCTACTATAGTGGGTATTTGCTTTGTGCTTTGTTTTTTGTCTCTTCCTGTTTCTGACTGCTTGTTTCTGCTTCGTCAGCGCGTCGACTGCTAGTTGCGTGGAGGATTTTCGGAGCGCACTGAACCACGTGGCACTGTCTTGGCTGTAGTATCTCGTATTGAGTACATTCTCGAAAATGCGAGTTTATGTTCAGCCTCGTTTTTGGCGAGTCCAACCAGGTTACAAACGAAATCATTGCATATTATTTATGAGTTTTGAGTGGCTCTACGGCTGCAGTCTTATTTTAAGAACATCATATAGCCAGAGTGAGATCTTAACAATACAGTTACCTTAGCGAATCAGCTCAAAACGTTTTGCAATCTTGTAATGATAAAAACGTGTATTTTTTCCTGTCACACCTGTCTTCTCAAATTCGACTCTCGTCTCTTCTTGGTTCTTGCTTCTTGCTTCTTTCGCGCCTTACCTACCGTCTAGCTATCCCTTACTCCCTTCCGTCACCTCTCCCTCTCACCCCGCCGTCGCGCTCCCTCCCACCCCGCCATCGCGTCTCTCTCCCTCCTAGCCGGCGCCCCAAGTAAAACGACGTCGTTGCCGCTCCCTCCCATCCCGCCATCGCCCCTCCCTCCTTCCCAGCCGCCGTCGCTGCTCCCTCCCATCCCGCCGCCGCCTCTCCTTCCCTTTCCGTCGTCGCCTCTTCCTCCTCCCCGCCGTCGCCTCTCCTTCCCTCCCCGCCGTCGCCTCTCCCTCATCTCCGCCGTCGCCTCTCCCTCCTCCCCGCCGTCGCCTCTCTTTCCCTCCCCGCCGTCGCCTCTCCCTCATCTCCGCCGTCGCCTCTCACTCCTCCCCGCCGTCGCCTCTCCCTCCTCCCCGCCGTCGCCTCTCCCTCCTCCCCGCCGTCGCCTCTCCCTCCCTCCCGCCGTCCCCTCTCCCTCCTCCCTGCCATCGCCTCTCCCTCCTCCCTGCCGTCGCCTCTGGCGACAGGTGCACGAGCGCAAGCGCAAGTTGGTGCGCGAGCTCGGGTGGGTGCGCGAGCGCTGTTTGGTGCGCGAGCGCGGGTTGGTGTGTGAAAGAAAGAACGAGAATGAGTGCAGTATGAAATGAAGTGAGTACAAATATGAAACCCTAATTGGGTTGTACCCCCTATGGGATACCCCACTATAGCCTACATAAAAGAGTAAGCTATAATGTTCTGACACACCCCCATAGGCAAAGTGGGGGAGAACAAGGGGTCACAAGACCAGTCAAGCAAAGCAAAGCAAAGCTCAGGGTGGATCACAATGTCACCACACATTCCGAGCACAAGTTCAAAGGCCACAAGGCCAGTTCACATGCAAGATCATATATAAAGATATACAAGAGTCAAGCAAGTAAGAGCAAGAGTATATATAGGTCAAGGTACAAGCAAAGTCAAGAAGTGAGCAAGTGAGGCAAGACAGGCACAAGACCCAGCTGCGTGCAACAACGCTGATGATCACAGGGCACAAGTGCCTTGGTGAAGACATCAGCAGTGTTGGCCTCAGAGGCCACGTACGCAAGTCGCAACTGTCCACGCTGCTGTAGCTCACGAGCAAGAAAGTAGCGGAGAGCAATGTGCTTTGTCCTGTGCTCCAGTCGCTGCTCTCGACACAAGGCCAGCATGGCCTTGTTGTCTACGTACAGGACTGGAGGAGAACGAGGCCGCTCTCCAAGGTCGGTCAGCAGGTAGGTGAGCCAGCGTAACTCCTGTGCAGCCATAGCCCCGGCGTAGATCTCAGCCTCACAACTGGAGCCGAGAACAGAAGACGAGCGGGTAGCCCGCCACGAAACAGAGCCGGAACCAAGACTGAAGGTGTAACCCTGTGACGACCGCTGCATAGCCTGGTCGTCAGCCCAAGAAGCGTCCGCGTGCCCAGTGAGGACCACTAGACTCCGCCCTCCAAGCACTAGCCCCATGCCCGACGTACTGCACAAGTAGCGCAACACCCTCTTCGCTGCAGCCATGTGCTCTGGTCGGTGTCTCTCGGGAGCAACATAGCGTGCGAGAATGCTAAGAGGGTATGCAAGGTCAGGTCGTGTGCAGGTCATCCGGTATATGAGGCAGCCAACAAACTCTGCATACGGGCCACTCGACTCTACGGACTCATCCGAAGGCAGAGCTGAGAGCGAGTGGCGAGTAGACAGAGGAGTGGCCTGAGGCGAGGAGTACGTGAAGCCGAAGCGCTGAAGGACCTGCTGCACCATGTGTGACTGAGTCAGGGTAATGGTGCGGCGTGCTCTGTCCCGGGTGATCTGCAAGCCAAGGTAGCTGCGCAGTTCACCCAGGTCTGTGCACGTGTGTCTCTTCTGCAGCTCGGACTTCACGTAGGCGAGTCCAGCAGTGTCAGCTGTGGCAAAGACCAAGTTGTCGACGTACACGAGGATGTAGAACGGCGGCAAAGAGGTGTCGGTGCGAAGAAACAGCGAAGGGTCGGCAGTAGAAGGAGCAAACCCAAGTGCCGCCAGCGTAGTCCTCAGTGTGTCATGCCACTCATGTGGCGCCTGGCGGAGACCGTAGACTGGACGCCGGAGACTCCACTGGGTACCAGAAGGGAACGACCCAGTGAAGCTAGGTGGGCGACGCAGCCAGATCTCCTCGTGCAGACTGCCCTGCAAGAAAGCAGTGCTGAAGTCGAGAGAGTGCAGCTCGTAGTCACGGTGAGCAGCAACGTGCAGTAGTACCCGAAGAGTGGTCATCTTCGGGGTGGGGGAGAAGGTCTGAAAGTAGTCAACTCCCTGCCGCTGACTGAAGCCACGAGCCACGTAACGCGCCTTGAAGACAGGCGGAGAACCCGGCGGCCGCTTCACCCTGAAAATCCACATGCCACTGACGATGTTTGCCCCAGGAGGGGGAACAGCGTCAACGTAGGTGCCTGTGGACTTCCAGGAGGCCATCTCTGCATCCATAGCTGCCTGCCACTAAGAGGAGTGGGGACCCTCTATCGCCTCCGCGTAAGAGCGCGGAGTCGGGATATCTAGTGCATCCGGGTCTCCCTCAGGGGCGAGCAGTACAGACGCGAGATGAGGTGAAGCGGCGGCCTGACACTGGAACTCCTCCTGCCTGTCCTCAAGGACGTCCGTGCCTAGGGCACACTCACCCCCGACGGACGGAGGACAGGCAGACGCAGACTCAGTGACAAGACTAGCAGCGTAGTCTAGACGACAGCGCGCAGCAAAGTCGACAAGCTCAGTGACAAGGGCAGACGCAGCAGAAGACTCGAAGGAAGGGTCAGTGACGGCAGTAGCAAGGAGACGCGTGATAGTGGGACTGGCAGCACGAAGAGAGTCCGACTCCGGGTCGGCAAGAGCAGGAAGAGAGGAAGCAGGAGGAGAAGGCAAAGGGGCACGCAGAGGAGCAGTAGACGGACGCAAAGACATCCGGTGCGTGCCAGGGACAGGAGGAGGACGCTGACGAGAACCGCGACCACTAGTGCGCGCAGGACGAAGAGGCGACGCAGGACGAGACGCAGGCTCACGACGCTCAGTAAGACCTTTAGTCGGACCAGCGTAGGGAGAAGGAGCAGGCAAAGGGGAGGCAGGCTGTAGCTGGGACTGTGACTAGACAGGCTGTGGACCCTCTAAGGGAGGAGGAGGAGGACCAGGAGAAGGTGTAAGACCAAGAACCTGCTGCAGGAGCGGAACGAAGTACGGTCGGGGCCGCGTGGCCACGCCAGAAAGAGCAGGGAAAGCTCCAGTACCCCCAGTAGGAGTACCCGCTCCAGCAGCACCTCCAGCAGATCGAGAACCTCCAGCAGCACCTCTAGCAGCTCCAGAACCTCCAGCAGCACCACCAGGAGCACTGCCAGTCGAACCGCCAGCGGTACCCTCAGCGCCAACACCCTCAGCAGCACCAGCTCCAGGAGAACCCTCAGACCCAGCAGCTCCAGCACCCACAGTACGAGCACCTCCGGGACGCTCGGCAGCAGCACCCTCTGCAGCCGAAGAACCTCCAGCACCAGCAGCACGCCTCCAGCGTCGGGCAAACCACTCACGCAGCTCCTGTGGGGAGAGTGGCTCTCGGCCAGGTCAAGTACCTCAAGGCGGAGCACCCCCAGTCTCAGCACCTCCAGTCTCAGCACCTCCAGTCTCAGCACCCCAAGGCCCAGCACCCCCAGGCTCAGCACCCCCAGACTCAGTACCCCCAGGCTCAGCACCCCCAGGCGCAGCACCCCCAGGCTCAGCACCCCCAGACCCCGCACCCCCAGACTCCGCACCCCCAGGCTCAGCACCCCAAAGTGTAGCACCTCCAGGCTCAGCACCCCCAGGCTCAGCTCTCGCAGCAGCACCAGAGTCACCAGTGACCTCGAGAGGCTCGACCGCGTCTACCTGGGACACACCTGAAGGGGCAGGACCCTGAGGGGGGAGGGGGTCTACCAGGGGGGGACCTGGTACCAAGAAGAGCAGGGGCGGGGGGAGGGACGGAGTGCGGTAGGGGAAGAGGCGGTAGTAGGGTACCGACTCGTCGAACGTGACGTCCTAAGAGGACAGAACACGTCGAGAGGTGGGGTGGTAGAACTGCCACCCAGGGGCGTCCGGGGGGAGCCCCAGGAAGACGCAGGGAGCAACGCGAGGGGGCACCTTGTCCGCAGACAAGTCGCGGACAAACGCCCGAGATCCCCAGACCTGGAACGCCGACGCATCGCCAACCTTCCCCGTCCACAGCAGGGCTGGGGAGGTCTCCGGCCTGGAGACCCTGGGGTGGAGGTTGATCTGATGCGCCGCGTACCTGACCGCAAACGGCCATAGAAAATGGGGGGCAGCCGCATGCATCATAGACGTACGAGCGACGTCCATGACCATGCCAATGCGGCGCTCAGCAATCCCATTTTGCTGCGGTGAGTCCGGAAGCGTGAAGGTCTGGCGAATGCCTCGCGCACGACAGTAGGCACGCAGAAGGCCAGAGGAGAACTCTCCGCCTCTGTCCGAGTGCAGACGCAACACCGGAAAGTCCGAGCCAAAGCTCTGCCTGAGCTGGAGACAAGCAGCGCGGATCCAGTCGATTAGCACCTCACTGACATCACCCTTGCTGCGCAAGGGGAAGACTGTGGTGTAACGCGAGTAGTCGTCAACCACCAACAGGAAGTAGCGCTCGTGACCGAGTCCACGGACGCGGGCAGGGCCCCACACGTCCATGTGAAGCGTCTGCAACGGAGCGTCTGTCGGAGAAAACTGGGAGGAGTGAGGGGCAGCACGCTGGCGCCCCTCGACACAGGGGACACAGGGAGGGCCAGGGCCCTGAGGAAGGGGAGGGAGGGACCGGGGGAGACCAGACACAAGAAGACGGGAGGCCATGCCTCTGAGCCGAAGCAGAGAGGGGTGGCCAAGGCGGTGGTGCCAGAGGAGAGTCTCGTGAGACAGACGGCGACACGAACAGGGGGCAGACTCAGGACCAGACCTGGACGCTGCAGCAAACACCTGACCAGACAAAGGGACTCTACCAGACTCAGCACCGGGAGGAGAAGCAGTGGTCAGTGTGTACAGGCTCGACCCTGGCTGACGTGTAAACGTAGCCAGGTGGCGACCTGTGCTAGCCTCTGTGCAGTGTGTCACCCGCTGACGAGCAGGAGTGAACTGGTGGACCCCCACATCCTGTAGGTCAGCACCACTCACCAGGTTCGTAGAGAACGAGGGGAGGTAAAGACCAGTCAGGCTGCCAGAGGGAGCCGCCGGACACGGGAGGACTGTGGAGAAACGAGACAGGACAGGACCCCCAGAGGGGTCAGCCAGGGAAACCGCAACAGGCCGACTAAGCGGCGTGAGTGTGGTGCGGTCCCGAAAGAAAGAGCGAGACGCTCCAGAGTCAAGAGTGAAGGTGAGGGAGGCCGAAGCCGACGTAGTACCTGAGAGCGCAGACGCACTAGTACCTGAGAGAGCAGCCTCACCAGCACCTGAAAGCACAGACGCACTGGCACCTAGAGTAGAAGCCTCACCGGTACCTAGAGCAGCAGTACCAATGCCCGGGTTGGGCGGGAAACACCGGTAACAGTCACCCTCATCACTAATGGTCACAGCATACATGGCAGCAAGGATAGCATCAAAATCAAGATCAAAG